AGTTGGTGCATAGCGTTCGGCATACGATTGGCGATCAGCTTGCGCAAGCGTTGGGGTTCAGGCTGGAACTACGGACGGCCTTCTTGAGGGCGATAGAGCTGTCTGTGCTGAGGAGTAACCCTGATTCGTTGAGCCTGCCATGGACGCAGATGGAGGCTGTGTGGGAAATGATTTACAAGTCCAGGCATCTGGGGACACCGGTACCGGAGGCGTTCAGCACAAAGATTCAGAGGAGATTGGCGAGTACGATGCCGCCGAGGCCGATAGTAAAGCTGAGCACGGAGGAGACGTACAAGCACTTCAAGAAGTTGTTTGCGGACGGGATTGATGTGTTGAATGTGCTGAATTATCACGATTCGCAGAGTTTATTGGTGAGTTTACCCCTTTTGACCCCTTCAACCTACTTGGATATTGACGCCAGCAGAACTTTGTCATGACGTTCCAATCCCAAAAACCCCAACCCCTCGTCTACATCCGCACTTTGCTCCAGTCCTTTTTGTTCAAAGACATGATCATCCTCGGCAAGCTCTCCATCCGCCACGTCATCGATGATGACTTGAGTCTGGTCGTCCTCCCGGCAAGCAAACTCCTCGACCCAGCCAACGACCTCGTCGAAGCCCCCCACCACTGGCGATACGCCCTCGCCCACCAAATGGAAACCTTCCGCCAGCGCGCCGCCCAATCCTACCTCGACATCTTCCGCGCCTTTTGCCAGAACCGCTGCCGAATCAGACGAACGCTCTGCCACTCGATCCAAGACTGGGAAACGGTCCAGCTGGACGCTGAGCAGATTGATCAGCTGCTGCAGCACCAAATCGAGGAGACGCCGCTGGTGTACCCGCCTACGGGAGATGGGGGCGGGGGAGTAGGACCGACGTATTCCCTCCCCTTGTCGAGCTGGGCGTATCTGTACAAGTTGCGACTGATGGAGTGGATTGTGCAGCTGGGGTTCGAGCTGGAGATTTATGCGCCCGACGAGCTGGGGGGGATGTACTGGTACCTATCCGAGCTGGCTAGATCCCGAGCGAGGTTGGTGGATCGGATCAGCTTTTTTACCAAGCACAGGGAGGCTGGGCAGCAGGCTGCTAGCCCGTCGGCGGGGCAGGAGGCGGCGTTTAACAAGTCGAGGCAGTATTTGTATCAGACTAGTTTGGATGCGGCTATCACCTGGGAGATGGCGGATGCGTTGTCGAACTTGTATGCTGCGTTGGGGAGGTTGGGGTTGGTGGTGGCGCCGCCGAGGCCGTACAGTACTGATGAGATGAGGTATGATGTGCGGATGAAGCCTTTTGCGGCGATTGGGATGCCGGAGCTGCCCAGTTGGGAGGTATACAGGGCTGCGACGGATAGGCGGCAGGTGGAGACGGGGAGGTTGCTGGATGATGCGAGTCTGAGCTTGGAGCAGGCGAGTAGGGGGTTGGAGGTTATGGAGAGGCTGAGCGAGAAGGATAGTTTTAGCGTGGGGTGTTTTGAGAGGTGGGTTGGGGGGGTTAAGGGGCAGACTGTGGCGGTTGATAGGGCTGCGGTGGTGGTGGAGGTTTTGAAGAGGAGACTGGAGGAGAGGGGGGAGGATAAAAAGGGGGGCAAGGAGTTGGGACTCAAGGTTGAGATTGGCAAGGCGGTGGAGGGGGGGCATGAGTGGTGGGTTGTTCCTACGATAGAGGAGATTGATGAGGCTTGATGCAATCAAGACAGACTTGGGCGGGAACGAAATGATCAAAAGGTTTCGAACGGCGTCTCTTTTCTTGCACTAATGGTAGCGTTACACGTAGTCTTCAAATATATGTACAAATCCCTCGCATCTCAACAAGGTGCTGTCAACAGCCCCTCTTGCAGGTGCCATCCGCAGATGGTGATGTCTGTTCCAAAATGGTTTTGCAACCAAGTATTCTGTCCATGTTTGTCAATCCGTTATCGATTTCATATGCCAAAGACTCTCTGTCCAGTCTCGAATTTAGGCAAGAGCCTTTCTCGCCATGGAGCCTCTGAGGCGAACAGAGTACTCGTAGAGCACATCCTTGAGCGCGAACAAGCAGGCAGCAGTGATGACGCTCTGGCTCACCTTGGGACCGATGCCTAATTTTCACGGTTAGCCGCCGTTATAACGTGTTCCATATAATCCTCATGGCATATAACTCACCCTTGTAAAGCCCAGCATACCCCTCCTCCCTCACCACCCTCTTCAACGCCTCAGTAACACCCTCCTTCTTGCCCCCCTCGACGTGCATCTGGCTCTTGACGGTGATGTAAGGGTACGTAACCGTAGTAGCAAACAACTTGCCCAACGCGCCCAGCACAAACGCAACCCCGGGAGTAATCCTCCTCTTCTTCTCCACCGCATTCTTCATCTGCTCAAACAGTGTGTACTGCAAAATGGGGTTGATAACCAACACCAAAGCGGGCACCACCCCGCTAAACAACGCCTGCGGCCCCTCCTTCTTCAACAACGCCAACAACGTCCCGATGGTGCTCGGCTTCTTGTTCCGCGCCTTTTGCGCCTCGAGGTCATCTTTCTTTTCCCCATCTTCGGTGGCGGCAGCCTTGCGGGTGGTCATGCGCGTGTTGACGACCCAGATGGGGTTCGTCAGAATAACGGTGGCGGAGCCGGCGATGGCGCCGGCGATCATGGACTCGACGGTGGTGAGCTTCTTGGAGGCGCGACCCGACTTTTCGGCGGCGGCTTCGAAGAAGGCGCGGGTCCATTCGTACCAGTAGTAGTAGACAAAGTTTGTGACGGAGATGCCGAAGAGGGCGGAGGAGAGGCCCGAGTAGAGGCCCGAGACGCCTTCGCGGGCGACGATTTTTTGGACGGCGGCGAGGAAGGCGGTTTCGGAGCCGGGGCGCTTGGATTCGACTTGGGCGCGGGTGGAGAGAGTTATTAGGGGGTAACTATTTTTTTTTGGGGGGGGGGGGGGAAGAGGTTAGTGATGGGATGGGGAGAGGTGGGACGGAGAACATACGTCAGGGCCATGGAGAGGATGCCACCTCCGGCGCCGGCGAGGGCGTGGGCGACATTGTCGTTTTGGGGGAGGACGGGCTTGGATTGGGCGGACATGGTGGTGGTGGTGAGGGTGGTGAGGGTGCGTGAGGGTATCAAAAGGGAAAAGAGACAGAGGTCGCGATGCTATGCGCGATGGTGTAGCTTGGGTATGCAAAAGAGAACAAAGAGAAGCAATCACAGGCGGCGCGAAGGGTGGCAGATGGATGGGCAGGTTTGGTTTATAAGACAAACAGTCAGTTTTACTAGTGAAGGCATTCATTCCTGTTCCCTCGTGGTCAGGTATGAATAGTGTAGTGGCTGCCGAGGTCCGATCAAATGCGGGACGCTAACAAGTGTCGAGCTAGGGTAATGCGCGGCGGCTTAACCCGGACGATGGCGACGTCACTGCCGCTCCCATGCCGGCCCGGGGGAGAGGGAATCATGTGAAAGCTTGAGGGCCCGGGTTCTTTTTTCCTTTTTATACCCGATTCGGCATTTGGAAAAGAGAGGCGCCTGACTGGTTGTTTGATGACATTCTCATGCAGAATTCTGTCTTCAATGATCATGGACAAACATTGCATTCTTACCTATCTATCTTCACTCTCCAGGCTCACTGGCGCTTCATTCAACCCCTCTCGACCAGACGCAAACTACCGAGTCATCATTTGCGCGATCTCAATCCACAGACCCAAAATTAATATCCCTCTCAAAGGCGCAAGCTTCCAGTCTCACTCTGCTCCTAAACATGGTGTTGTTGATATGCATGCTTCATCTCACACAACTGCCGGGAGAAACGGCCCCCCCAATGGCAGCTGCATGTGACGACTGTGTGTGTGTGTGTTCAACAGAGAAAACCACAGTGCCCCTCACAGTGTTTCTTGCTCAATTCCCCAGCCTTGGCAATTCTATTTTCAGACCCGTTGCGCTCGACGCCAATCCCAATGGGGGGTTGTGGTGGGACGGGTGGGCTGAAGGTGCTTGCCCCTGTCCGTTTGAACCACGACGCCATCAATCTCCATCAAGAACACCTCTCACTCTCACTTTCCTCGACAGAACCCTCGTGAGTGAGCAAGAGCTGTGACTTGTGGAGAGTAAGCTCATTAATTCCCATTTTTGATTTTTTTTTGTGCCATTTATTCTCTTGATCTGCCTCCATCTCAGATATCCATCTTGTCGTTTCGTTTCATCCCAAGGCGCAGATGAGGCTGTTGTTTTGATTTGATTAGCCCCTCCAACTCTGCAGCAGTCCGGAGGCTCAGTACAACAGCTGCTGCATTGGAGTACGTCGCATCCAGAATGCGCCGCGAAGAAGGCCTGTCAAGTTGATATTGTGGACGCATCCCTACAATCTCAGCCATGAACTGAGAGGTTTGGACACATACATCATGGATCATACAATGGCAACGACCGAAGACTCGACCGAGTCCCCCGCAGACATCCTGCCCCTTTCAGAAGAGGCATCACCATCGGCAACTTCAACTCTGTCTCCCTCAGCAACACGCCCTCCATTGCCAGATAGACAGGTCAACGCAGCTAATATCGAGGATGCTTATGTCGATTTTATTCTTCACTGCAACCCCTGTGTGCCGCCTGGGACAGACACGACCGCTCTCCGGGAAGCGTTTCGCGCCCTCCCCAAAAGCGGCGGCAAGAGCTTCAGCGCATCTCTTTTGTTTGATCTCATCAAACAGTTCGACACCAAACAGCTCAAGACATGGGCCGAGTTGGCTATCAAGCTGGGGGTTGACCCGCCGGGTGAGGGCGAGAGCGGCCAGAAGATTCAGCAGTACGCCGCCAGACTAAAACGATGGATGAAGTCGATGCATGTGGATGCCTTCTTTGAGTATCTCATGGAGAGAGGGTCGCCCTACTGGACCGAGATACCGGACGAGAATGTCCCGATTGCAGAGCTGGACAGGGAAGGGGTCTTGGCCGAGGACGACATGGCGTTACGGGCCTTGTTGCCACACATCAAGCCCAAGAGGGGCCGGAGGAGACCTGGGGAGAATGACCTGGGAAAGTCACCCTCACAGCGACCATCACCTCGGGTGGATGAAGGCGAGAATGGCGGTGCCTGGACGGCGGAGCCTCTTACCGGCGCGCGAAGAGAAAGCGTCTTTGTGTTTCCCCCTCCGCCAGACCCAACGAGGCTCAACCCATCCGGCGCCACGTTTGTCCACGATCTTGTCCAAACACCGTTGACAGCGACACCATTGACGGCGTACCCTCACTCTGCCATCACACCCTCGTCCAGAGCTTCGTTTTGGGCAGACGAGCCACAATCTGCCATCACACCTTCTTCGAGAAGAAATGCTCACAGACGCCATGGAGCCAAAGTTGTCTCATCAGCGTGGAGGAGGGGCGGGGCTAACGGCACCGGGAAAGTCAGGGGTCGTCCTCCAAACAGTCGTCCTGTGAATATGGAGGGGCCGTTTTCTGCCTTTCCAGCTACCCCGGGCGGCTTCAAGTCAGCCTCTCCCAATCCGGAAGAAGGCGGCAGCGCATCAAATGGAAATGGCGGTGTGCTGCTCCCGCGAACGTCAATCAAAAACTGGGGTGTGCCGACTGCGTCTCCTCTCACAACAACATCGCCAGTGGTGGTGATGCCGAGTCCGATTCAGGCATCACCAGTCCACCCGTCACCGGTAGAGTCGGTGCACTCGAGGCCGGCAAAAAGAAGCAGGCTGTCACTGCAGGTTCCAGAGAGGGTAGGTGGTGAGGTGCGGCTTGCCACACCACCACCACCACCAGTAGTCATGGTTAATGGGCAGACTACTACCGAGCCTTCATCACAAGCACAACAGCAGCAAATACAACAACAACAACAACAACAACAACAACAACAACAACAACAACAACAACAACCGCAGTTGCTACCACAAGCCGTTTATGTGGCGAGTTACCCGACAACTGCCAACAACCAACCGCCGATAGCAGCACCCAATCCCACCCAGTATGACCCCGCGGACAGAACAAACATGACTGAAGTCGAAGGCCTCTTCATGACGGACCTGATGAACGCGGAATGGTTCGACGCCAACGGCAACAAAATCCCCGCCTGCTCCGGGGATGAGGCCTGGGCTTTTACCCAGGCTGTCCTCGACCGGCTTCGGACCACGGCATCGAGTCATTTGGACTTTTTGATCAATCTCAGTGCGTTGGCTGGGGGGGGGTATTTGATGCCGAGGAAGAGCTTAAAGGTGGTAAAGTTGGCGGAACTGGAGGATCGGACGAGGTACAAGACTCATTGGCAGCTTAGGTATGGGAGCGTGGTGGGGGATTTCAGTATGGAGGAGGAGGTCATGCATGCGGCTTGGAAAAGGAAGAAGAAGGATGGGACAGGAGGGGGAAGGGGGGCGGTGGATTGGGAGCAAAAGTACAGGGATTTGATGGTGGCGTTTAGGAGGAAGGAGGAGGAGAGTGTGGGGTTCAGGAAGAGGATGTTGGATTTGGCTAGGGAGATGGAATGAATGATACCCATTGTATTTGTTAGGTTTGAACTGAATGGAAAGTTGATGTTGTTATCAAGAAAGTAGTAAACCCTAACCCTGGGCTTCTTTAGGGGGCAATGGCAAGTTTGTGGGTTTTGTACACTGTGTGGGGTTTGCGTGGAAACCCCTGTTGGTTAATTAAATCAACGTCGCGCCCGCGTTTTCTTGGATTTTCTTATCGATACCTTGCCCAAGAACCTCCTGAATTGGTGACGACGACGACGACGACTACTACTACTGCAAACGAACTGTTGGCCAAGTTGGGCGGATACGGATTATCTCAGCGCAATGCACTGAATCTTTTCTGTCACCTTTGCCACCTACCTCTTTTGTGCCTTTCAATGTGTATCCTTCTTCTAGTTGGTTGACCAACCTTCCCTTTCGCTCGTTTGTGCCTCTGCCTGCCACCAACTGTACCCAGCCTACGACGGGCTTGGCTCGACAACAACACTTTTGCTTCCAAAGTCTCGAATGAATTAAACACTTTCGGAACCATGCCTCGACAACCTGTCTTGTTTGGGCGGCCGGTGCCCAGGTTGGGATCGAGACATGTATCGCTGATATTTGTCTGCCTGGGGCTGTTTGCGCTGCTCAGCCTGCTCTTCAGCGTCCCCAGCGACCAGGTGGCGGCAACCGTACCGACGGACTCGAAACCGAAGGCGGGGGGGCACAAATTCGGGATACCCAAATCGTTGAAAAGTCCGTGGTTGAAGAAGCTGAACCCGTTTAAGCCGCCGTCGCACAAGCCGGAGAGGCAAAAGAATGACACCGATGGGGAGTCGTCGTGGTATTCGGATTGGAGGTGGCTTACCATGCCGTTCAGCAGCTCGATTACCCTTGACGAGGACAGGGCTGTGCTGCCGGTGCTGGGGAAGAGAACCCCGATTTATTGCTACTATGACACGAGCGTGGAGAAGGGGAAAGGGGATAGGGAGGTGGAGAGCGAGTTGCTTCTTGCGTGGAGGAGGGCTTGGTGGGCGAAGGGGTTTCAGCCTACTATTTTGAGCCCGGCGGAGGCGATGAATAACCCTCTGTATGAGGAGTTGCAGAAGGTGGAGGGGATGACGGAGGGGTTGAGGACGGATTTGATGAGGTGGTTGGCGTGGGATAATATGAGGGGGGGCCTGCTGGCGAGTTATCTGTTGTTTCCCATGGGGGGGCATGATGATGCTCTGCTTGGGTATTTGAGGAGGGGGGAGTTTCCGACGCTGACGAGGTGGGAGGGGTTGGATGATGGGTTGTTTGTTGGGCCGAAGGGGGAGGTGGAGAAGGCGATTAGGCTTGCGATGGGGAGTCCGCATGTTGGGGTGGTGAAGGGGCTGTTGGGGACGGTTCAGGAGAAGAGTGATGATCCGTTTAGTGTTGATACTAACCCGAAGGCGTTGGCGTTTTATTCGGCGAGGAATATCGAGACAAAGTACTCCAAGATTGGGGAGGAGATTACTGCTGCGAGGGTCGCCGGGATGAAGAAGCTCAACCGGCTTATCAACGCCCACCTTCACCTCGCGTGGCAGAATACGTATTTCAAAGGCATCTCGGTCGTCAAACCGCTACCTCACCACACGACCCATCTGATCAACCCGGCGTACAAACTCGCCCGGCGGCTCTCCCATTGTCCCGAGTCGCCGTTGCCGAGCACATGCCCCCCGAACATGAAGAAATGCACACCGTGCGACGACACCAAGCCCCTCGGCGTCACCACCCCGGCTCATTACGTCAATGACAGTGGCATCTTCACCATTGGCACCGTCCCCCACCCGCTGACGATGCTCACTCTCTCCTCGCTCAACTCGGACCTGACAATCCCTTTTATCAGGCGGCACACGGATCGCGACCCCTGGATTTACGACCTCACGAATGGCATCTCTCCCAAGGGCATCCCGGCCTCTGCGCGCGTGCTCAAATTCAAGGAGATTGTCGCCTCGGAACCGACGTCTGCTTCTTCGCTTTGGTTACAGGCGGAAAACACGGCCGCGTTGAGTGATAGTGACCTGGACTGGATTTTTGGGTTTGAGATTGCCAGTGAGGCTTCGTATCCTAATGAGGAAGGGGGGGATAACAATGGGCTGCCGCCGATGCATGACGCGAAATTCGGGGCGGTGCCGGAGGAGAGGGAGTTGGAGATGGAACGGACGCTGCTGGAGAAGGTGAAGAAGGTGGTGCTGGAGAAGAAGGAGAGGTTGAGCGGGGAGGGGAAGGTGATCAAGGAGGCGGTGGAGGCGTGGAATCTGGCGGACGGGGAGGCGTGGAGGTTTGTGAGGGCTTGGGTTGGACGGGGGCAGGTGGAGAGGAGGAGGTGGGAGGGGGAGGAGAGGAGGTTTGTTGGGGGGATGGGGAGTGAGAAGAGGAGGGATGGGTGATTGAGAATAAAGGGGGAGATGACGTTGAAAAGGGCGTTTTTTTTTTGGTGTTGGGGATGGATGTACATTGAAGATGACGGTTGGGGTAGATAGGCATAGGTTTATAAGATGGATTACAGATTGCCTTTACCGATGTCTAGTGTGTTCAGGTGGATTGCTTGACCGGGTCGCTCCTTTTGTTCACATCGATATTTCCCATCTTCCTGTCTTGTATGATGGGTCTTTTGACGTTGTTGCTCACAGACCTATCTGTTGAATGAGTGGTGTAAACATGGGAGTCGGTCGGTTTTGGGAGTCAGCACGGAAAAATGCGAGATGTGTAATGTTGAACAGCATATCAACTGATGCATTGGTACTATTTTAAAGGCCTTGTTGGTTTGATTTTGTATGTCTTTGGCAAGAATACGAAGAATGTCTAACCTCGGTGGCTACGGATATGTGAACAGTTCAGATGGGACTAGTGGGTCGAGGCGATCTCGGCGTGTTGGTCTGACTTTCCTTCTCGACATCTACAAAACAAGAACCCTTGATCATGTCGATCTCCCGCATACTCTGGAAGTGATGATCTATAGTAGCATTGGGTTGAGTTGGGCTGAGACTGGTCCGGAGTATTGCTCCATAAGGTAGAGAACAACCAGGAGCTGAGACTGGTCCGGAGTATTGCTCCATAAGGTGGAAAACAACCAGGAGCTGAGGATGACGGCAACAGGCTGACATGAATGGACATTGTCCATATCCCATACCTTAACGCTGCGAAGCACTCACACATGGCTCAGCAACGACGTCCCGTTGGTTTTCCTCAATGTCCCTGAATATACGAGACATCATCAAGGAAAACCTCAACCGGCGGTCAAACCCCCCCCCCCCCCCCCTTGACAACCAAAAAACATCCCCGTTCACCCACCCAGTCGATCCATCTCAAACATGCAGCATCTAGCCATGCAAGCGCAAGCATGTCTCATCTTGCACAACATGGCACCCGATAAAAAGCCACGATACGATTGACAGACTGGTGGGCGTGTGGTGGTGGTGGTGGTGGTGTGGTGCGCACATGGGCCATCCGGCACATCTCGTTGGACAATTCCAATTCTGAGACCCAAGCCTCAGGGACGAAAGGGTCCGTCCGGTTATTGCTCCAATGAGACGAGATAAGACATTCTGAAAATGTCTTGCCTGTCGTGTTACTTGGGCTTTTTCGGTAGAAAGGACTTCCTGGAATTCCTGTTTTGTCTGCGGTGGAACGCGGTGTATCCTCGGGGGGTGTTTTTCTTTCAAAGAAGAAACGAAGCCTGTCCTGGAGGCAGGGCAAAGCCAAGATCATCAAGAGTTCCGGATGGCCGATGGGGGGTTGCTCTGCATGTAGGAGTAAGAGGGGGGGAGTGTATGACTAGTAAGAGCCTCAGTGACTACCTGCCGTTGGTGATAATCCCCCTCCCTCATTGACCAGATATTCGACGGGGTTTGGTTCACTTGAAATCCTTGGATGATTTCCCGAGGCCTTACCATGGAAACATGGCACAACATGCCGGCGTAAACATGAAGTGAAATATATATCTTGGCAAGATCTCGATGGCAGGATCAATCGGGTCCAAACAGGTTGATCGGAGGCTTTCGACGGAGGTTCGGACTGGGGCTTGGGCTGACGGCAAAAGCGGACACTGTGCCGCCGCGCATCAACGGTAGATTGTAGATGCAACAGAGAATACTGGGATCCGTGGGCTTGTCTTGCGGCCGGTGGAGAGCACGTTTCCCACGTTGCTGCTTGATTGGCCGTTCCCGACGTTTGGGCTGCGAGGCTTTTGTAGGGACGAGATGGTCGGGCAAAGTTGCAAGGCGCACGTCCATCCACAGAGCCAGAGCACGACGGGACGTGATAGGCACTGGGTATATCTAACGGATGATGGTCGTTCTGTCAGGCGATTAGCGATATGAGACCTATGTTATTATCTCCGTGTATCGGCTCGGCTGAGTGTAAGGTGCTGTGGGTTGCTGTGGGAGGGTAGCACAGGATGATAAGTGATATGCGAGGTCGGTGATTGTGAGGCCGCCCGGGCCGTGAGGTTCAGCATTATCTGAGGGGATCTGCGAGTTGCTGAAATCTTGGTCCCAGATTCGATTGCGTAACAGCTGCCAATGAATTGCAATGTTTTGAACAGTGTTGCAAAGTCGTGACTAGGAAGCGGTGTAGTAGAGGGCAGAGTGTGTGTAAGTGATTGGATGGTGAAGAGGGGTTGCAAGGAAACAGCTGTCGGTATCTCTACACGTGTGTTTATTGTAGAAGAATGAGCCCCAGCCAGATGCACCGCTGCGATGGGTTCGGGACTGCCTTGTGAGCAACTGCTAGGTAGGCTAGATGCGGGCCAAGCAGGCACCGCGTGGGTTGCGGACCCGAAGAGCTGCATGAGGCCATTCTCGAAGGAGCAAGAAGCTTTGGACGTTTGGGGGGGGGGGGGTGTGTGCTACAACGACGTCAGAGAAAGAGACCATTCTCAGGAAGTACCTACACCGACTCCGTAAAGTAGCCCTGGAGGTGTTATAAATGATGGAGGAATGGTGGATAGGCATCCCAGGCGAATACAAATATCCTATAACAAAGAGCGTCCTGAAAACGTGCTGTGGTGGTGCTGGCTGCTGGCTGCTGGCTGGGTGCTGCCGAGTTCGGGCCTTCAGGGCGATGCCTGCTATGGAGAAGGGCCCAGGGCGCTAGCGGTGGAATTGGATCCGCCACAGACAAATAGCCACTTTTCCCGCCTTTGCGTCAGAGGCCTGCACAGGATACATCATTTGAAAGTTCTCTCTTTTTTTATTCTGTCCAAAATACATGCCGCCAGGTACCTTCTGCACTCCCCGACAGCCGTTTGCGACTTTGCCTGTTTCTCAGCACACAGTGCCAGCGTTTTACTGTCCGCACTCCACTACCAATCGACCAGGCAGGGGATCAGCTCAGCCCAGCCCAGCCCAGCGGAGTAGCGTAAGGTCTCCCGAAAACCACCAAACCTTTCCCGTCCCTGACCACACAGAGAAATCAACCACGACCTGGACGGACAGACCATTCTCCCCTCCCACCTTTTTTCCCCCTTCCCCCACCACCACCGCCAGATGTTCACCTCATGTCCAACTCGCCCTGTCCACCCGAAAATGCCGCACCCGCTGCTCTGGTGAGCCCCGAAAGGGCTACCGGTACCTGTTCTTCTTCTTCATCACCACCAGCTCTTCCTCCCCCTCCTCCCCCACCGCCTGCCATCCCTCCTGCTCCCCCTCTCCCTCCCGCCTTGTCGTCTGCGCCTCACCCCGGCCCCGACTCTATTAATACCGACGCACCCCCTCCTCCACCTGCACCCGGTCCGGCCCCCGGTCCTCCTCCCGCAACACAAGAAGAAGCAACATCCTCGACGGTACCACCACCACCAGCGACACCAGCACCGCAGCACGGCACCACCCATGCAGATCAGATTAAATATGCCCGGGGTCCTGCCGTTCTACAGAGACCACAGGGCCCCTCCCTGCTGACCCAAGCCCTCGCGACAGCCCGTGGCATCCCTCGACATTCCTCATCTTCCCATATAGATTCCTCCACCGCCGCCAGCCAGTCCGCTGTCGACTCCTCACACCATCCTCCCTCGAACCGTGACGTCAAACCTCGAGATCCCCGTCATGGCCCGCCGCATCACGGAGAAGGTGATGTTCTAGCGCAGCGAGTCTCTCCCCGAAAGCCGACCATGCCTTCATTGACCTCTGTGGCAACCACGGTGGCGCCACCTGCTTTTGGCAGGCTGGACATTGATCTCGGCGAGGTCAACTCAATGCTCAACGGCCACCGCGAGTTTCTGGCCAAGACCAAAGATCGAGAGGGGGACTTCAAGAATCGCCTTGGCAATCGGGCCAACACCTTTGCTGCCGATACACCCAGCGGCCATGCCCTCTTCACCGACTCACCTACCGCCATGTACGATGGACATGCCGACGAGAACACTGCAATCGAAGAGCGGCCCGTCCTCAGGACTTGGAAGACGGAGCACAGGGTGTCTTTGGGGCCCGAGAAGGCCTGGTCTATCGGGACGGGAGAGATTGACAGTGACGGGGACAGCGGTCAGGTTGAAAAGTCTATTACCCAGGCCTTGGCCGGACACGAGCCGAATGCGCGCAGTCGGAAAGCCAGTCACAGCCTGCGATTCTTCAAAGAAGGTCTCCCGGAAGAGAAAGTGAAACGGAAAGAGACCCGGCCTTCCACCCATCGAGAGAAGACAGGGGATATCGCCCACGAAGGTGAAGGACTACTCAAAGAAGGCGATGTCAACAAAACCAAGACTCGTGATCTTGATGACAAGACTCACACGGCCAAAGGGCCACCGCGGGCCAAGACGACCCCGGCCGGACTGCGCACGCCTGACGCAGTTGAGACAATCGAAGAAGCCCCGGAAGATTATTTTGTTTCCAAGCACATGGAAACCTCACTTCACGCCAGCCCTGTGAAGCCAGCAAAGTCGCCTTGCAAGCTTGCTGCCCATGACCAACAACATGTGGAGCCGACTGAGCCATGCTCTGGCGGGTTGGAACTGCGACGGGAGTCGGATGCCAGCACCGGAGGCGGGGATAGTGCGGTTGATGAGGGCGACGAGTCGGGAGAGGAAAAGATCTCGTCGGCAGTGTTCGTCCCGCATCAAGCGCCCCCCGAACAGCCAACAGAGCACGCCCCAGTGCCTGGTGCGCCCCCTAGGAGTGTGCCGGCACGAACCCAGTCTCGACATGACGATTTTCATCCGTGGCTTGTCAAAGCTGACGAGCCAGAGTTTGACGAACACGGGGAGCCAATAGACAGAAAACTCAAGTCTGAACCTACCCAAAGCTCTAGTGTAGCACCTGAACTAGACATCACTCAACCTGCCGGCCCGGCGGCTGCTGTTGAAAGCAGAGATGTATCTGCCAAGCCGTCCCGTCCAGTCTCCCAGTATCATGAAGAAGCCGTCCATGACCATCAGCTGGAGCCCACGCAGCCATTAGAGGCCATTGAGCTGATTCCATACAAGCATCAAGTTGGCGGCCATACCACTCTGTGGAGGTTCTCCAAGCGAGCTGTCTGTAAGCAGCTGAACAACAGAGAAAATGAGTTTTACGAAAAGATTGAGCACTACCATCGCGATCTTCTTGCCTTCCTCCCGAGGTATGTCTATTCTGTCCAAGGCATCCAGGATTCTTGCTAACAAATGGGCTTAGATATATTGGGGTGTTGAATGTCACATTTCAGAAACAGTCTCGTCGCAAGTCAACCATGAAAAGAGATGATCATGCAGTGGACCGTCATCACCCAGATGGCGACTCGAAGGCGAACGGGACAAGCCGGACTTCTCACGAAGCTGACCCCCCCACTGATCGCCCCAGAATGATCAGCCAATCACTGCAGAACAACCAAGGCCAGATTCCTACAGTTACGTTTGTTGACAATCAGCATATTCTGCCTCGAAGTCTCCTCCAGCCCTCGTTGCCGAGTCCGCCAAGCCTGGGCGGAAGATTTAGGAGTTCCTCGGCATCAACACTTCCGCACAGCGAGACAGCGCCGCAAGATGTACCCGTGACACCCACCAAGACTGCGCTGACGCGCCCCAGTCTTTCCGACCGGCATGCCAACAGCTGGGGCGCCACCACGGTGAACAAGAGACTCCGGAATGAGGTCTTCAATGATGCCTTCCTCAAGCAGCCGATTGCGATTCATCGGCACCGCAAGGGACACCAGCGTCCAATGCCGAGGCGTACCCTTCAGCAGTCACTTCGCCCGACCGGATCAGATCCGAGTCTGGCAGAATCTCACGAGAAGAGGGCCCAGGCAGCCAGAGAGGCTGCTGAGCGTACACTGAGTGCAAGCTCCTTGGCGCAGACACAGAGTGATCTCGGTCACATTGACACATTCTGCGACGCAGAGGGCGAGGAGGACGAGGGTGCACCCAAGGATGTCACGGGAACTAGTGCTCCAGAGCCTGAAATCTTCGGAGGATCGTCGCCCGCAGCTCTTAAGAAGAAGCGCCGGTACTCTGGGACGGGCCTGCGTCGAAAGCCGGACGATGTCCGCGACGACCGTGGCAACCTGAAGTATTTCGAAGAGGCGGACGAGGTTGTCTACAAGGGTACCCGTGACGAGATTGTGCCCAACCCCAAGACTCCCGTGAAAGCGAATGCTCTCACCCCCCCAGCAGAACAACCAGTTGAGGCGACCATCAATGGGGGTGGCGAAGTTCAGCATCCCAATGCCTTTGTCTCGGCCATCACCTCGGCTGCCACTTCAGCGCTCCCCAGTCCAACTTCCGAGTTCAAGAAGATTCCCCGGCCTATCAACCCCAAGGAGGCTCAAACGCAGAGCGACTCCCGCGTCGAGTACTTTTTGCTCCTGGAGGACTTGACGGCAGGCATGAAGAGGCCTTGCATCATGGATCTGAAGATGGGCACCCGGCAGTATGGCGTGGATGCGAACCCCAAGAAGCAGCAATCGCAGAAAGGCAAGTGTGCCAAGACCACATCTCGCGAACTGGGCGTCAGGGTCTGCGGGCTTCAGGTGTGGGACGTTCAGACGCAGAGCTATGTTTTTAGGGACAAGTACTACGGCCGGACTCTGAAGAAGGGAGGAGAGTTCCAGGGTGCACTGACACGGTTTTTGTATGACGGTGTTGACCCGGCCAGTATTCTTCGACATATTCCCACTGTTCTCCGGAAGCTGGATGAGCTGGAGGTGATCGTGGGCAGGTTGAAGGGGTACCGGTTCTACGCGGCGAGTCTGCTCATGTTTTACGACGGTGACACTTCGGCGGACGCCAGCAACGGCTACGAAACCGCAGCCATCGACGACTCAACAACTGATTTCGCGACGGACACGGAGGAGGCCCCGAGGAGACAGAAGAAGAGCAAGCGGGATATCGACTTCAAGATTGCCGACTTTGCCAACTGCATCACGCCGTATGATCCGATGGAGGACAAGGCCTGCCCACCGAGGCACCCCGGAGAGCCAGACAGAGGGTTCATGCGGGGTTTGCACAGCTTGAGGATGTACTTCCTCAAGATTCAGCGAGACACGAGGGCCCAGATGGGGTTGGTGTCGTCAGGAAATGGGGAAGCGATGGGATATCCGGAGGATTACGATGATGAGGGGTCCGTTAGTGAGTGAGAACGAAGTGACGTGGGGGAAGAATAACAAAGCCCGTACATGGCGGAGTATACCACAACCTGTTTTGAGTTGTACGTTTTAAGAGTGGCAAGGGAAGGCCTTTTCATTATGGCAAGGCAAATCAAGGCAGGGAAGAGGGGAGGGAGTATACGGCGTTGTATGTTACCATACCCTGCATTGTTTGGCGTTTTTATTTTTATTTTTGTCTCTCTGTAACTGAAATTCTCAACTTGGATTTGTTTTTTTTGTTTTTTTTTGTTCACAGCGCAAGAATATATTGATGGCGCTGGGTCTCTTTGAGGTGGCGGTCTCGAGAAATGTGTTTGATTGTGATGATATTTCTGTTTATTTACTGATCCGGCTGGGTTTGGTGTCTCTGTCTTTTGTTCTGTCTGGTTTGATGAATTATGCAACGGCCGGTTTTTGCTTTCGCAGGTAGAGAGGATGTAGTAGTGTAGACCAAAAAAAAAGATACAACATCTGTAGTAAATCATTCGCTGATGTCCTTTCTTTAACACTCCCTTCTCTCTCTCACACACACTCACTGTCTCTCTCTCTCTCTCTCTCCATCCCTCACAACTTGGCCTTCTCCTTGATAGACCCCAACTTCCCCTCGGCCTCCTCCTTCCGCTTATCCTCCCCCTCAATCATCAACCTGTCCTTCTCCTCCTCTTTGTCGTACCCCGCCTGCGTCAAAAACCCAACCGACTCCCTGTACATCTCGGCCTTTAGCAACCCATAAATCCCCGTCTTGGCCTTGTTGGTCAGCTTCCTCTCCTTTATCAACTCCAGCGCCTGATCCAACCCGCCCGTTCTGTCCACCAACCCTGCCTTGACCCCCTCTTCCCCGGAGAAACGTTTCGCCTCAAGAACCAAATCCCTATAGGTCGCAGGAGGGAGCTTAAGTCTGAAGATAGAGGACATGGCAGCCTTGAGCGGAACCCCAAACTCCAACTCATTCACACACGCGAACCCTTTGGCGGGATTCATGACCCGATAGTCGTTGTGCATAGCCAGCATTAGCCCTCCAGCGAAGGCGTGGCCCGGGAGGAGGGCGATGGTGGGCATGGGGTAGGTGAGGTACCGGTTGAAAAGTCTGTACAGTACCCCGGGCAGGAACCCTTCTGTTCCAAGCGCGTGCTCGAGGTCGAGGCCGTTGGAGAAGAACTTGGGGAGGCCGGAAGTTGTGATGACGACGCCGGGGGTGTAACCACCGAATTCGATCAGGTCCAACGCGTCGAGGATGGCGGTGCAGGAGGCGGTGGTGAGGCGGTTGTCTGGGGGGGAGGTGATGGTTAAGAGGTACACTGCCGGGGCGGGGAGGGTGACGGTGACGGTCCCGCCGGGGTGTTGGTTTAGAGGGGGGATGGGGATTGCGAAGAGGGTTTTGCCTGGGGTGGCCATTTTATCGGTTGGTTATGGTGGTGGTTGATGAGAATGAGGGTGAGAATGAGAATAGAAAGTCAAAAAGTGAAACTGAGAGACTGAGAAAACAAAAGTGTTAGTGATAAAACGCATCAGGATACCATGTTCCGCCGGTGTCCTCTTGATCAACCAAGTTGCTTACCTCGGCTTGATTTGCACACACCAGACACAACACCTACAATCGCACAAATATCACAAGTTTGAAAAGCTTCCACAATACAACATTAAAAAAAAAGGAAAGAACGAAACTCGAGTCGGTCCCCGCGAATCCCGGTCTTCCGTTTCTCATTCCCATCCCTCACTCCAAAAAACAAGCCGGATCCGATCACGCGGGACCCGGCGCTGGCTGGCTTGGTGGCGGCAACGCGGCCGAGAGGCATGTGATCCGCACCCTGACTAAGACAACCATCAAGGTCCGCAACTACATCAATGGCAATCATTTATCCGCTATCAGAAAATGCATCATCAATACAAATCCTATCAATTAGCGATACCCTCTCTCATCCTGGCCATAACAATATTATCATTGAATAAAAAACGCGCCCCCATACCCCCCCCCCCCCAATGATCCGTCCACCCAAAACACCACCAATGTTGTATAACTGGATTTGAAACCCACATGGATTAGGAGCACCGACAAAAAACAAAAGAAAGTCTAGTAGGTATCCCATCAAAACCGCTCCCAACTGCTACTACTTCGTCCCCATCCACCTCCTCCAGTGTATCCCTGCCGCCCATCATAACTCCCCCGCCCCTACACGGCTGAGTATCCCCCCCTGCTGCCACTGCTTTGTATCGTGTTAAGAGCTCTCCGCATCCAGTCCTTGAGTAGGTACGGGACATCCCTGAGCGTGTCACCATGGGGAAGCAAATCCCACCCCCGAGCGCCATACCGGTTGTAGTTGAGCCACGAGCCAAAGATGAGGTACTGTTGCGATGCCGAGAAAAACCCTGTTCAATCCCATGTTAGCAAACCCATTCATCACGACCCCCCCAATGGAGCAAAAGATACTCACAAAACCACAAACCAAGTAAAAAACCCCCAATGCGCACTCTCCCCCCCACCTTCCTCCGGCTCCTTCCCCTTCTCCGGCTCATCCCCCACAGCCTTGTTCACAAACAAACTTGGTATACCACGTCAAAGCCAACGTATCAACCTCCCCATCACTCTTATAACCCCTCCCAAACCAGCGCCGCCCCCTCCTTCCTGAAGCTGATGCTCCGGCGTGCTGAACCCATCATCCCCCTCATCTTCCGCCCTCCTCCTCTTGTTCACCCTTCTCATACTCAACCAGACTTTCTTACTATCCCACTCCTTCCTCATCCCCTTTGAGAACCCGAACACTTTAAACTCCACCACCCGTCTGCTGCATGTCTCCCAAGAATACTTCCCCCCCTTGAGGGTAACCCTCAGCCCCTCCCCTTTTTCTTATCCTCATCACCCTTCCCCTTTGCCTCCTCAGCAGGTAACCTCTTAGCCTCCCACTCAAACCCACCATCCTTCTTCTCCACCACAATAGGCACAAAGTGATCCACCGTCGCCTTGTCCGTTTTCGGGTCCCACTTGTGCTTGATCGCGCATACTAATTCTCAGTCAGCCCCTTGTCCGTTTTACCAGACGTCGTGTAAAACTCACCCCTCGTCCCCTCAGGACACCTCTCCCTCTCCCCCCCAGTCTTTGATTTCAACCCCCCACACAAATCAATCGTGTACGTCGTGTTGTGGTAACTCGGCGCAAGAAACTCGCTCGTGACGACCGTGTGCGGCCCCGAAAGCTCCTTGAAGTTGTAGGTGTACCCGTCGACGGGGAGCTTCTCGCAGTTGAACTTTGCGGCGGCGGGGGCGGGGGATGCTGTTATCATCACTGCCATCGAGGACGACAGCAGCGGGAGCCATGATGTTGATCTCATCTTTGTGTGTGTGTGTGTTGATGCGATCGTTGTGTTCCGGCTCGGTTGGTTGGTTGGTCGCAACGGCAGCAAGAAAGATACGAAAATAGCAAAAAGCCTTAGTGCTGATAAATAACTTGAAGAAGAAAAAAAGGTCCGGTGAGTGAGAGAAGTGGGCGTGAAACAGGGAAATGATGTTCGCAACAGCAAGAAGCTTTCTTGTCGAAGCTAAAATAAAAAAGCGAACAACAGTAGATCCACGCCTCTCTTTCTGCAGCTGCTGCTCACAACGACGGGAAGAGAGAGAGGCACCAGAACTATTCCGTCATAGCACACACCCCGAAACGCGACGCCTTTTGGTCCGTGCGTCCTAAACCCAAACCAACCGCACATTAATCGGCCACCCACTCGTGACCTGTCACGTGTAACCTTTAAGCTCACCCCAATCTAAGTCACGACACTGGAAACTCACAAATCACATCTACCACAGGCATTAGATTCATCTTGTAAATATATACTATGGCCCAAATTGACACACAACCCCTTCCTTCCCTACCTTATCCCTTTCCCCACCCCCTTTCCCATTTCCAATCCAACAGTACAAAATACACAAGTAGTAGTAGTAGTAGTAGTAGTAGTAGTAGTAGTAGTAGTAGTAGTAGTAGTAGTAGTAGTAGTAGTAGTAGTAGTAGTAGTAGTAGTAGTAGTAGTAGGAGTAGTAGGAGTAGTAGGAGTAGTAGTAGCAGCAATGAACATTTCTGACAACCCCATTCCCATCCCCCTCATCACCATCCGCTGGCCAACCAAACCAACTAACCCCCTTCCTTCTTCGCTTTTTTCATTCATCGCTCTTTAGTTACTAAAAAAAAAGGGGGGGGAAGGGGTAAAAAACAAACCAAAAATGTCCCAATTCATAAACCCAGGGTATATAGTCTTAGCCGTTTCCCCAAAATATGGGAAGCCTGGCTGTGAAAAAAAATCAAGAAGCAACGGAATGATAAAAGAAACGATAAAAAAGCCAGAGAGCCAAATTCCTAGCTTTCTGGAACCAACCAACCACACCGTGTAAACACCGCTTGCCTTGTCCCCGCAAAACTCCAAATGAAAAACAACCACCCCCCCCCCTCTTTTTGAGTATGATTTGATATAAGTATGTTCCCCATACCTGAGACCCCCTTAACAGCAACATGCCCCCATATTCACAGCCCGTTACATCCCCTGCTGCATCATCCCCTGCATTGCCGCCGCCTGAGCCCGCTGTGCCTGCATCTGCATGTTCCTCTGCGCATACGTTCTCGTCACAAGACCAACCGCCTGCTGTTGACACTGCGCCTTGAATTGTGCCAACTCTTCCTGTGGGATTGCTTGCGCATTTCCACCATAACGTTGAGCGAGCTCGGGCAGTCTCTTGGTAAATAGAGCGTTCGAGTGGTTGGTAATCTGGCTCTGAACCTGGGGTTGCTGAAGCAGAGCGTGCATTTGCATCTGCTGGGGCGTTGGCTGCTGCTGCTGCTGCTGCTGCTGCTGCTGTTGCTGTTGCTGGGCCCTCTGCTGGGCCTGCAATTGTTGTTGCTGCTGGATCTGTTGCTGTAACTGAATTTGTTGCATTTGAGCCACCTGCTGTGGCGTCATGCCGTTCATCGCCATCATGTTAGGGTTCTGTTGTTGGGCTGCCGCCATTGACTGAGCCATGAGCATCTGGCGCTGTTGGGGTGTCATCTGCATTCCTGCTTGTTGCTGCATGTTGTTCAACTGCTGCGCATAGTTGGCTGCGAGAGCCTGGTTGCCCTGTGTCATCATTTGACCACGCTGCTGCTGTTGCTGAAGCATAAGCTGCCGCTGTAGCATCGCCTGTTGTTGCTGGAACTGCATTTGATTCAAAGGCACGGCACCCCCGCTTTGCATCCCCATTTGCTGCCGCTGTTGCATCATTCGCTGCTGAGCCGCAATCTGCTGAGCTGTGGACTGGATGTTGACATTTGGCATACCCGCCATGCCTTGGGCGTTCATCAACATCGCCTGTCCCATGGCCTGAGGAGTCAAGACACCGGGTGGTGGGCTTGCTTGGGACATCCTTGGCGTCGGCACCGCCATGGGTCGCGTCATTGGTGTTGCTTGGGCCATATTGGGAGTTGCAGAATGCATCCTAGGGGTACCGGCAGCATGGCTCTGCTGGCTTCCACGTGCCGACATGCTGGGAGCCATGGGAGCAGCCATTGGGTGGTTTTGCACCACAGATGAAGGTCGGGGTGGGCTTGCAGCTTGGCCCATGCTGGAGTTGGAATGCTGCATGGGAACACCTTGAACCATGGGCGACGATGCCGCTTGGGGAGTATTCTGGCGGATGATAGGGGACGAGGCTTGTGGCTGTGAGACTTGGGTAAAGCGCGCCTGGGCCTGGGGTGCCATGCTGACGGGCATGCCGTTGCCCATGCCGCCGGCCATCGGACTGTGCTGAGCATTGGGAGTGCCCATATTTTGCATTCCCTGGTTCTGCTGCGCCTGTTGTTGAGCCGCCTGCTGCGCCTGGGCTTGTTGAGCTTGCTGCTGAGCCAGAGCCTGGGCTTGCTGAGCCCTGGCTTGTTGTTGAGCCTGTTGTTGAGCCTGTTGTTGAGCCTGTTGTTGAGCCTGCTGCTGAGCCTGAGCCAGCTGCTGAGCTGCTTGAGCCGCTTGTTGAGCCTGGGCTTGGGCTTGGGCTTGTTGCATTCGCCTCTGTGCCTCTTGTTTTTGCAGCATTGCCGCCTGCTCTTTTCTTCTCCTCTCCTCGGCTTGTTGCGCCTGTTGGGCTTGCTGCGCTTGTTGAGCGTGCAAAACAGCAGCTTGTTGCTCCTGCTGCTGCTTGGCCAGCTGGAGCTTGCGTTCGTTTTCGGCCTGCTTGAGCTTTTCTGCCTCCTTCTTGGCCGCATGTTCCTTCTGGATGTTCTCAATGACCTTGAAGCGTTCAAATCTAGGCTCCCACGTGGAAGCTGCCGCTTGGCCATCCCCATCTGCACCGCTGCCCCCCGTTTGAGCACCGCCCAGTTTGGAAGACGCACGCTCATCGAGAATGAGCATGTAGCGCTCTTGCTGAGCCGCTGCTGCTTCGTCGGCCGCCATCTCCGCCACGGTTCTTTTGCGAGTCTTGGGCTCTGGTGGTTTGTGCGAGTGGTCGGGGTGCGCGAGCTGCTCGAGCTTGGCTATTGTTTCCTCGGCATTCTTTGTAGGCTCGAGGTCCAAGGGCGCCGTTGTTGCCAAGAGAATCTGCGATTCGGCAACGTAGATGTTGCTCGAGTCCAGTTCCATTTTCTCTCGTTTCTGTTTCTTGGCCGGAGGAGGCATGCTACCAGCCATAGGGGTAGGAGGCACAGCTCCGTGAGGTGTCGGAGGAACAGCTCCATCAGCGCGTGACTCTGAAGCTCCTCGGGGGGTGCTGGCCTTAATCATAAGATCTGTATGCAAACTATGCTGTGTTGGGTGCAGCACAACCGTGATGATCTTGGGCTTTGCTGGTCCTTTGCTCTTCTGATCTATAGGCGCGCTCGGGGCCGGCATGTTTTCCTTATCTTTTTCCTCGGCCGTTTTTCGTTTGCTGTCCGAGTCGCTGGCCGGCACAGCCGCCCCGCTCGCCTTGAGGTTCTCTTCTGGGTAAGGGACATACGAGGATGGCGTGAGACACTGGTTGTAGTTGTGAATCGAGAAGGGCGTCGGCATCGACTTGGAGTTCGAGGGAGCAGAGGTCGGCCGAGCAACGTCTTTGACCTGCTGGGTGGCTGTCTTGTGATCATGTACCTGCACAATTAAGCATCCTTCATAGAAAGGAACCCCCGCCTCGGTCAGGTAGCCCAGCAGCTCGTTGGGGACAGTGCGTTCCCGAACGTGGTCGAGGAAGATCTTCATGGGCGATTTGTATGGAAACATGCCCTCTTGTTGATCAAATCGCCAATGCGTTTGAAATAGATGCACAATGAGGGAGGGCGGGTTCCCGGCATATTTTTTCAAAATGTACTCGTCAGTTACCACTGCAGTTCAAGTTAGCATATACGGCAACATCAACGAGCGCATGCAGCGCGCCATGCATACCGTATGGTGGTGGTTCCGTCAGGGTAGGAGATATCGCAGAGTCCGGGACGAGGCTGGCCGATCTAAGGCCTGCACTCCTCTGGCCCCTACCCAGTATTTGTGCTGAGGCTTCTCGCCGTGCCCGGTTTGGGGGTCGGGCTGATGATGGGGTGGTGCCGTTAGTGGTTGGGGGAATCGAGGGTTGGCGGACGGCCGAGGGGGCTCGCTTGGCTGATATGGATGGTGACGGCGAGGAGCGTGATGTGATCACGGCGCCGTTTGTTTGTATGCCCGGAGGTATGGGGCGTTTCGCCTTGGTCGCGACCGACACTGCCGAAGCAGCGGCGACAGTGGGCGCCATTTGGATGGGTGAGCTGCTGCCCGCAGGCAGCGGCGTGAGGGAGGGAGACCCGTCGCTTAGAGGTTGCTCCCCTGCTCGAATCGCATCGGGAGGGCTGGCGAGAGAGAAAAAAATATGTTAGAGCGCCGAGGACGGTCGAGTGTCGATGGGAGCAATTGAGGCTGATGCTTGAATCGATGGGGCGGGCGCGATAGCGATGGCCGATGGGGTTGGAAGTGGGCGGTGGTGGTGGATGATGATGATGCGCCGCGGTCCAGGGTCAGGTCGCGGCCAGCGGAGCGTGATTCGGCTCTGGAATGAGTTCCAGGTCAGGTCCAGTGTTTTCCACTGTTGGGGCGGGCGTCAATGGCGGTCGTTCGACGCGGTTTGCAGCAGAGTTTTCGACGTCGACAATGCGTCGTGATACCGGTTCTTCCAGCGACTCGGCGGCCGACTGCATGTACTGATATTCTTGCGATGCCGAAACTTGATGCTCGTCGTTCTGGCGGATGCGCCTGGGGTCGATCAGTGGACGATGGCCTGTCTCTTTGTGGGGTGTTTTCTTTGGCGAATCAATCCCTGTTTGGACGGGTGGTGGCTTCAACGCTGCTTGGCACTGAGCCGCATCACGTGACCCCAGTATAATGCAGTATCCTTCCATCTTTTGTTTTATAGATACTACCACTACTACTACTACTACTACTACTACTAGATAGGCTGTGACACCAGCATCTTATGTAAATCGTGCTTACAGAGGTATATATGACACGCTTGCTCACGCAACATGTCTACAAGAAATCAAAAAATCCAATCCATCATCATCAACTCAGAGCAGTCATGTCCATCACTCGGGCCTGTTTTTACTCCTTACCCAGCACTCTGCGAGCCCAGTCGTCTTGCACCTTTTGGGCATCGACCACGATGACACCGCGTCCTCTGCCCACCCGGTCTTCCCGGTGCCACCAGATCTCTTCCGCTTTTCCGGGCTTCTCCGCCTCTGACTCGCTATCAGCGAGACCTCCGTGGCCGCTTTCCGCTCCCACCACCAGAATAATGTCGTGACGGAGCCAGGTCTGAAGGTTGGTGACAATGCTGCCGTTCTCGCCGCCGAGAGACTCCTGGAGGTAGATGATCTCGGGCTGAATGTGGCGCAAAATGTGCGAGTGGCCATTAAGGGTGGTAAAGGTCAGAATCATGCTGTCTTTTTCAACAAGCGCCTGAGCCTGGGCGTAAATAGCGTTGTAGGCCGGATCAGATGTGGATGGGCCGATTCTATACGCAAGTTAGTTACAGAACCCGTGGAATTCTCCACCGGATAGTTGAAACGTACGCAGGGCTCTTGGCCTCATCGCCGGGAGTCTGGGCTTGAGCGGGGTCAATGTTGGAGAAAGACGAGCTCAAAGAAGGCGGGGGACGGTTGCTAGGCGATTCGCGTGTGGTCTCCTTGAGATTGGGGGCATAGATGAGAACATAGAGCTTGTGCTTGGAGGTGTCAATTGACCGAGGAATGTGAGACAGAATAGACTATTGCGGATTAGCATGGATATTCTCTCGGGAGCTTAAGGGTACACCGAAAGGGGGGCACGCACAGCATGTTCGTGATACCCATCCGCATCCACATCGTCGATATGATTATCAGCCGAGATAACAATGGCAACCTTCTTACGGCGCTTGTTGGTATCCTTGGCCTGTGAGGTTGATGGGACAACCCTTTCCTTCTTGGCCTCGATCTCCTCGGACCAGGTCTCGTGGTCTGCATATGCGGTCTTGTCCTCTTCCCTGATGGCAGCCAAAGCACTTCCAACAGCTGCGCCAGCCGCACTCAGCCCTCCAGTAACAGTCCTCCTCGCGGTATCGAAGAATTGTGAAGGGCTCGGCGTCCGGCGCAACGCAGCCCAGCCCAGGGTGGACGATTCCACCTGCGAGGCTGCAGCAGCGACACCAGGACCGCCCGAGCGAGTCTGGGTCCCGCCAGCAGCACCATCCCGGGACGCGCCGTAGGCGGGGTTGTCACCATATTCGCCTTCATCGTAGTCGAGATCCTGGTAGGCGGAACCGGTCTCTGCTTCCTCCTGATCTTCCTCCTTCCGCTGGCTCCAAACCCAGGCGACAACGCCCACTGTCGCAACCGTGACGGTCACGGCGAGCGGGACCCAATGGTTCCAGACGCCGCGGCGGCGGGACGACTCATAGGGCGGCGACATTGGTGATGTTGCGATCGATCATCTCGTTTCGGGCGGGTTGCGGCTTGCTCTCGTCGGTTTACTCGGGGAGGTCGTCAAGAGATGTTGAAAACTATGTGGCTGGTGATGGGGAGGGACACTATAGTCTAAGCAGGTGGTAGCATGTGGACATGGACATGGACATGTGGAGATGGCGCGGTCAATGAGAAGGCTGGGGAGGGATGGCACGGTTTGTTTGATGCCGGCGCCCCCAGCGCGGTTGCGGCCCCAGCTTCGTCTTGTTGCACACCAAAGCCGAGCTCCAATTTTCGGATAGACCAAACCGAGGCAGGTGGTTGGCCCAGAGAGAAATAACAAAGGAGAGCTGAAGCTGACGCCAAGAAACACGGTGTGGTCCGTGTTCTTGTCAGAATACGTCACTTTTCAACAGCCCAAGTTTGACAAAAGCATCATCAGTCTGGCCTCAGGAACTAGGACAATCACAACTGCTAACATTGTCAATTGCATTCTGCGATCTCAAAGAGGTTGTCTAGTACTCTAGCCTAGAGCCCAATATCATTCCTCAATCTACACGTATCCAATATGCAATGCCGAAGCCACAAACCCTAACCCTGTTATGTCAAGGAGGGGCATTCACACATGAATGGAGGGGTCTTTTGAGGGCAAACCTTCCTTTGCGGCTGGCTTCTGGTGACTCAGATTCTCACTTACAGTAACAAAAGCCAGAGGAAAAGTCAGCTCCATCAACCCAGTCACTGATTCAGATTTCCAGTTGGACAGAGTTCTAGACTTACCATACAGGGCAGCCCGTCACAAAAAATCAACCCCACCTCAGATTTCCTTGAGCAATCACCTTCATCAAACAGTTACCCGTCTAAGAGACTTGCTGCCATGCCCCACGCAGTCACTATCGCGACCCCTGGGTTGCAGGCCCTCATCTTGTGCGGCCCAGGAAGCTCATTCCCAACGTTCACAGCAAACCCTGATGAGAACCCAAAGGCTCTGCTTCCCATTGCCAATCGGCCTATGGTCTGGTACCCGCTTGAATTTTGTTACCGAGCTGGCATCACAAGTGAGACCTCACAACCAATCTCAACACCTTATTGTTCTTTCATAACTAACATGTATTGCAGACATCACACTCATCTGCCCCCCATCAGCCAAGGAAGCCATTGACAGTGCGCTCAAGACAAATCCATTCTTGACTGGCTTGCCACTCCCACGCCCTGATCTCCTTGCACCAGAGGACTTGAATCAAAACACGGGCACTGCCGAGATTCTCAGACTTCCAGAGCTACAGTCACTCGTAACTTCCGACTTCTTGGTCCTCCCTTGCGATCTGGTATGCGAGTTGGGTCCAGAGAAGCTCTTGCAAGCATGGATGGTCAAGTCTGCCAGCTTAGGAGATGTGCTGGGCGACTCTCGCGCATCCCAGGGAAAGCACAGCGGCGGTCTGTCCGTCTACTACCAAACAAAATCAGAGACACCCATCAAGGGTGAGGAAACCGAGTTTATTGCGACAGTACCACTGCCCTCATCCTCAGTGCTGCCCGCGAGCGGCTCTCTCTTCCCTCACCTGTCCAAGCTGGTATGCTCGATGCCCACAGATACTCTGAAGGATACCCTGGAGGACAAGAAGGGCTTCCCTTCCCGCCACGACCTCGTCGAACAGCACCCCAAGATCAAAATGCATACCACCCACCGCGACGCCCATATTTACATCTTCCCTCAATGGGTGATGAAGTTCGTCAAGGAAAATGACCGACTCGAAACCATTGGCGAAGATGTCATCGGCTGGTGGGCCAAAGCCAGCTGGCAAAAGGGCCTGTCTTCCAAGCTTGGATTTGACGAGTTTCTCGCCCTACCAGTGGACGATTCGTCTTCCCAACACGGCGGCACCAACAGTCCCCGTGGTGAAACCACCACCACCAACACCACCAGTCTCGAGACTGCCACTCAAAAGCTCAGCCTGAACTCCACCCCAGCTGAGGAACCTAACCAGGTGGTCACCTTCAAGACCCCCAAGGTGGAAGAGCCTAACCCCATGGAGTCTGCTTCCAAATCGGTAGAGGTACCACCATTGCTCGCCTACATCCACCCTACCTCTACCGGCACCCCAGCCAAACCAACACCCATCATCCGCCGCGTCGACACGGCCCAACTGCTACTGCAAATCTCCCTCCAACTGGCCAAGCTGCCTTCCCTAGAGGAGATCCACGACACCACCAACCCACCCAGTCCCTACTGCCACGCCCGCAAGGTCGCCTACCCAGAGGGTGTCAAGCCCAGAACCACCATCTCCAAGTCTGACTCTCTCGTCGCCGACAACGTGACCGTGTCAGAGAAGACTTCCATCAAGGAGTCCGTCATTGGGGCCAACTGCCAGATCGGCGAGGGCGCCAAGCTGCAGGGTTGCCTGCTGATGGATGGTGTGGTGGTTGGGAAGAACTGCAAGTTGACCAAGTGCATCATTGGGAAGAGGGCCGAGTTGGGCGAGGGGTGCTCGCTGAGTGGTTGTGAGGTGCAGGAGAATCTGCTGGTGGAGGCCAAGACGGAGGCGAAGGAGGAGAAGTTTATGAGCTCGAGCGGGCTGGAGGCTACGAAGGAGGAGCTGGATGATGCTTATGATGAGGGGGATGATGATGAGGAGGGGAGTGTTGATGGGGAGGGGAGCGGGAGTGATGAGGAGTAGGTTGTTGCTCAAGGGCAAAGGAAGAATGGGGTTCTGTCTCTGAAGGATATATTGACATGGTTTAAAAGAATCCAATTGTCTCTCAGTTGCCTGATATGCTGTGAGAAGTGAATCACAGGCTCGCTCGTCGGTATATAAAGGCTACCTATATATATATGGATGAGGTACCGACATGTGTTAGATTCGTGGGGTATAAATACTATTCTTGTCAACAGTCCTGTCATGCTTTCCTACCTTGCTACTCTATTTAGGTAGACACGGAACCTTTTGAGGTCAACTGGTGGAGCAAAGCAATCTCACATGTTTTCCTTTTCACCTCAACTTTCGTTATTTTATCCTATCCTTTTCTCGAGCCAAATTTCGGTGTTATATCTTTCTCGGATAATAGGCGCCCTCGATTATTCCGCCACACTCACAAAGGCAACTTTTGTAGTCGTATTATGATGCTGTAACTATTTACATTACCACGCACGTAGACAGCTCTGTAAGCTGGTGATAACAGCTAAGAGTTGGCCATTTTTAAAATAGGAAACAGGCCTCTTCGCTACCTTGGGTATCTTTTAAAACCGATGAACTTATCCTCCAAGACCCCTTACCTATCTTTCAAAGACACTATCAACCATCTTTCCATCTTTACAAGAGTTTCAATCATCTCTACCATAAACAATTCAACATGCTATCTCCGTCAAGTTCCTTTACATTCACCAGTTATTTCATCTCTCAGCATATATCACCCCCTTACCTCCCGCTCGCAAACAAAAACGAGCACCAAATCCAATAGGGCTAATAAAAGACCAAGCTTGGCTGACTGGCATGAGCTGAAATTAGAATCGATTCTTCTCGTAGAGGTTGCTCAGCTGTGATGAAACCACCGCCTACCTACCCCCAAGTTCGGCGAGTGAGTGGTTCTCGTATGATTTGATGTCACGGTTGAGAAGATGTTTGTCTATCTAGGTAGGAGGAACATGCTGTAGCTGCTGCTTTGGTGATAGTGGCGGGCGGGCGGTGGTGATGGTCGTCTCATTGTTTTGGGAATTAATCATCAGTGTAGTGAGGTAGTCTACCATGTGCTGATACTTTGTAGGGAGGTCAGCTGGGAGATGTTTGTCGCTGATGTTGGATGGTGACGAGATCACGAGAGGGGGTTAGGTACATAAAAGTTGTCACCGTTAGTAATAGCCACAACATGGGCATCCGAGAGGGGGTTGTCTTGTGTAGAGTAACTTGGGCTGAAGAAGTTGGCAACTACAACTACATGAAGTCATCCCCAGCCATGCCCCCCCACCATGTCTTCCCCTCCTCATGTAGTAGGCAGGTTCGTTTCCTGTCAAACATGTGTCTTCTCCCTCCCTCTCACTCCTTGCTTCGAACAACCCTACAGCAGACCAACCCCTGATATTGGCCTCTGAAGGAAGAGATGCAAGAAGGGGCTTTCGATATCACGTACAAACATCACGAACCCCTCCTTCACCTGTCGGCAAGTTCCGCGAATCTGGTAGCCAGCCGGCTGGCTTAGCTAAGCATGCGCCTCCCGCACGCCGTCCAGGAGAGGAGACGCGATGAGACACGGCAACTGTGCCGAAGAACAATATCTCGGGCATATACACTGGACTTGATAGCGCTACCAAGAGAATCGAAGCGGATCTTGTCTCGAACCACCGGCCCCTCTTGTTTGCCCAGAGACCGTTGTGATATGGCGGTCGTGGCAGAGGGTGGATGCAGTTCACTGGAGGAAGAAGCATGCGTGATCAAGGTGATATCAAGCGTTGTGCCTCATGAATGAGGCCCCTTCAGCCTCTCGGATAAACAAGCCACCGACACTGTGGGCTGTGCAACTTGCTCTACAACGCCCCCCCAAGCAATCAATGCCATTGTGTTGACGATTTGGGGAAGGGAAAAGCCATCCCCCTGACACCCCCCCTCCATCGACGATGTCCTGCAGGAACAAGAGCCCTCTTGCAGGGAGATCATTGTCCACTCTCATTAATCCGGCCCGAACACTTGCTGGCTGTGAAGAGAAACCGCAAGGTTGTTCGTAGCAGAGACGAGACGCCCTACAGCTCTGTGCCGTTGCGGTAACTCTTCGCAAGGGATGAAATATGTAAGCGTCCTGCCTCGACCGTCAGGGGTAAACAAGCCACGGAGACTGGGGAGAGACATTGGCAGGTGGTAGAGAGAGACAAAAAGACAGAGGCCAGAGGACGAGGAAGAAAGCTGGGGAGGCTGAACCTCGATTGTTTGCTCGCTGTCACTTGCGGAGTTAACAATTGACTTGCCGGGTATTTCCCCCGACCACAACTACTGGTCAGTTTTCTTGTTAGTTGATCTGATCAATCAAATCAGCAAAATACAAAGCAAACGGTCGTCACAACCAAAGATTCCGGTACCCTACTGCAAGACAGGGCACACTAATCCATCCAAACTCAGCTAGGTAGGTGGGCTTGGTTAGCAATGCTGATCAGATCTCGAACATGAACGCCTCGAACCAATCCCAATACGGTTCGACCTCATCAGGAAATGCGGGGAATCTTCGTATCAATCTGATGTGTGTGTGTTGGGGAGGTGTTGCAGCTGGGCGATGACGACCAGGACGGATTGCTTCTTCTTCATCATATGCACACGCGGTACAGATACGATCAGAGGTCACAATGCAGAGAGATCGGTGGGGATGCCTGTCATGCCTTAGTCAGGGTACAGCTGGGCCACAGGGAGAAGCAATGGGAGGATGGGCTGCGGTGAGAAGTCTCAGAAGAGTTGATGAGGGCGAGACAGGATCAGACAATGGAATCGTTCCGTTCGACGACGAGAAGACCGGTCGACCAGGTGGGTGGGTGAGTGGGTCAGGAGAGAGGCGGTTGTCGTTGACGCCGTGTGACGGCTGTTTGTGAGCATGAGGCTTGAAACGGACAAAATGTTTGCTCGCATGGAGGTCATGGGCTAGACAGGACAGAAAGAGGCGCTTTACTTTCCATTCTGCTCATTCAGCCCGGTCGGAGAAGTGCCCTTTCGCCCTTGGCAAGCACGATCAAAGCGAATGGCAGCACATCATGGACAGTGTCAATATAGAGTTTATCTGAGGGATAAATTCAGGGTCTGAGATGCCCCACACAACCACCCTCGCTATGCCACTTTGAAGCCTCACAAGGCCCTGGCACGCTGACCCTTGCCGTCCTTGTTGTATGGCTTGCCCAAGCCCAGATCCGCCGTTGTCATTGGCTCGCGTCAGGGCCGCGCTCTCAACTTCCCCAACACCATCCCCGGCATCGTGGGAGCTCGAACTTGTTGGAGGGTATCCTTTTTTTGGGGGGGACGCGGGGGGAGGGATGGGGGGAAGAAGGCTATCTTGGTTCCTAGATCGTTGGATCCCGCCGAGACTTGCCAACCACTACGACTCTGCTCTGTCACCTGTAGGAAATGCCGGCTCCTCATGTTACCCAATCCGATTGGATCGTCCAGCCTACCTGACTTATTTTCTTCTTCGTCTCTTTCGACCCGGACCCAAGTTTGCTTCTTGCTTACCTAGTATTTACCTTACCTTGCCGATAAGTTGGTGTTTGCATCTCTCTCAGCTAATCCGGGACGGGGGTTACTCAACCTCGCCCTACCGAACAAAGGTCTAGGAACAATTTACCTGTTCATCGACCCTTTCGATCTTCACTCTCCACAGTGTCAAACCTCCGCAGACCACAGAAGGACGCACGTTGCCTCCCAAGTCTCATGGAAGTGGAGGGGCCTGCGGCAACGACTGTTGATCGTCCACACACCTTGATACTCGATTGTCTCACCTGTGCTCGGCCTCTTGATGAGGGAAGCCCACCATTCCTGCCCGTGTGCTATCGCCATTCCAGCCCGGCGAAGGCCAGGAGCCTGGGACCCCGAACCTAATTGCCTGCCCACCTACCTATGCAAACCCTCGCCCAAGATCTCGCCTGATCTCCTTACCACATTGCTTTTTCCCGATGCTTGAGTTGCAGGCCAAAATGTTCTTGCAGCTTCACAGAGTTATCAGGTGTTCTAGGTAACCGGCCAGTAGCTGCAAAGCTGTATGTATGTACGCTAACCGCTCCCCCCAGCTATTCCTCTTTGGTCGCCCTGGATTATACCACCCTGTTTGGCTTCAGAAACCTAGCTTATCTCTTGCAGCAAGGCCACTTGTCGGCCCTCTTGTCTCGCTGTGCAGACGCTGCTGGCGATCACTCCATCCCTCATGGGCAGTGGGACATTTCTCCGCACGGACGGGCGAGTCCCTCAAGGTACATTTCTCAGGTACTCTGATGGCGAGCAGGAGATCTACGACATTTTCCTCTCGGCCATTTGGGAGTCGCACAGGAATGTGCCACACGCGAGTCTCCTTTCCCTTGCCCCTTATATTGGTCAAGCTATTCCTACTTTGACAGATGGGTTGTCCATCAGTTGTCCAAGGGGTCCCACCCGTCTTTCCTGACGATCCTCGCTCTTGTTCCTGTATATCTATCCAGCAGCCCTCATTCCTGTGCTTCAGGGCGAGAGAGGTCTATTTGGTCTTCAACCCCTTTGGTCCTCCTCGCTTCTTCCCTTCACTCGTTGCTGCCAATCCCCTCTTCTTACGCGCCGGTGAAGGCAAATATGGAATTCCACACAGGGCATCCGCTGTATGCTGTCCCTCTCGGGTTGGAGGACGACGACATGTTTAGCCCTAGCGGATCCAGCTTTTCCCTTTCGTCCTCCAGCTACGGCCCTCACACACCGACCTCTGGCCGGTCCACTCCTCCACGACACTCGTTTGACTATGCCTCCTCGTTCAGCTCGTCGATCGACGGCCACTCCATTGAGCTCACTCCTCCGTCTTCAGCATCCAACTCATACTTTCCATTCGCCTTCAAGGGTGATGGCATATCCGACTTTAGCCAGCCAGGCTTCCCCCTTACTCCTTCGCGTGGCAGCCAGCTGAGCTTCGGAAGCTTTTCCCACAACGGATATGGCGGTGTTCAACTATCCCCTTCTCAACACGTCGAGTACTACTGCGGGGACAACCTCTTCCAGCCACCACCCGCGGTGGTGAGTCCCCAGCAGCAGCTGCCTTCGAGCAACGGGCTGGAGAACTGGCGCTGGCCACAGGACAGCCACAGTCCGATCAGCTTTGGGGAGCACACGCCAAAGAGGCCGAGCTTGATGGTTCGGCACCCGCCGCTCAAGTTTGAGGACGAGAGGGAGGATATCGACATGAGGAATAAGTGTCTGAAGGACAGCCTGTCTGTTGAGCCCTCGGCTGTGGGGTTGTTGCCGTCGCCTATTCATAGGATCAAGGATGATCCCCCGCCGCCTCCTAGGCAGAGACACGGGAGGATCAGGGCGCAGAGGGGGGGCGAGAGTGTGAATGATGTCGAGCCAAAGGCTACGTTTCGGTGCATTGTGCCTGGGTGTTCTTATGGGCCCTATAGGAGGAATGAGCATCTGAAGAGGCATCTCAAGAAGTAAGCCCGCCCAACCCCCCGAGTTACTATCTGATACAGTTTCTAACACATCACAACAGCGAACACGGCATCGGGGGAAAGAAAGAAGGCTGGGTGTGCGAGTTTTGCCCGCCGGAGAAGAGCAAAGACGGGCAGCCCAAGAGGTTTAACAGGCGGGACAACTGGAAGCAGCACATCAGGCTGCACGCGAAGAGCAAGAGCAAGAACAGTCGGACCGAGTACAACCCGGAGGCGATTGAGGTTTTTAACCGGGAGCAGGCGAGGATTAATAGCTCGAAGAAGTTCAAGAGTAGGGTGATGGGGAAGGGGGTGGGTGGTAATAAGATGAGGGGGGAGAGTATGGACTCGATGGATTCTGATCTTTGAAACAACAACAACAACAACAACAACAACAACAACAACAACAACAACAACAAGGGCAAAAAAAGCATTGGGTGGGAGGGCAGTGGTGGTGTATGTGTATCACATTCTTGTGCGCGTTCCTTTTTTCATTTTTCCTTTTTTTCATTCTTGTTGTTTATTATTGGGTATTTGGAGTTGTTGGATATGGCTGGGGGGGTTGGGGGGCGTCGTCGTTGGCAACAAATGTGTAACGGAAAACCGACTTTGGGCGGTGATGGGGTGGGTGGGAGGAACCATATGAGGAGTATCTCTTTTCTTTTGGTCATGTAACAACTACTTGATATTCTACGGATGATGACGATGATGTGTGAATGGATGGGTGTGTGGAAACAGGGGATGGCAAAAGAAAAAAAAGTATTGGGGTGGTTTAGCTTCACTCACAAAAGGGAGGGGGGAAGGGGATAATGTATGATGCTATTACCTAGCTAGTGAAGATAAAAAATAAATTAATATAATTCACATAGCATACACATCTCTCTCTCACACACTTCACTGCGATGAAACTGTTGTTTGACAACTGACCTTGATGCACTCGGAAGCATTTGATACCACTTTGGGTGTGGTCTGCTTCTCAACAAAGGCGAGACTACACACCGACTTGAACCCTGACAAGAAAGGCGTTGAACTCGTGTCTCTTTGTGACTGACCGACAGGAAGCGACCAGCAGCAAGAGGAGAAAGTTGATTTGAGCCAACGACTTCTTGTGTTTCTTGTGTGTCTTAGATCTGGCATGGGGCGAGGCGTCTCGAGTTTTTTTTTTTTTGTTTCTGAGACAAGGGACAGTATATTTTGACTTCAAACAATTGTGTTGCTACTGTGCTCCTGCCTCCGATTCAAGGTCCGAAGACTCACTTGGAGACTGACGAACAAGGCTGTGGAGAATGTTAAACTGACAGGTCACATATTCGTCTGTTAGTGATACTAGCTTTGAGAGAGTTGGCAGTCAGGGAATTTTTATACGGGAAATCCACTAGCTGAAAGCCTCCTACGCAACTGTGTTGTTGTTGTTGTTGTTGTTGTTGTTGTCAGATCATGGGTGCATACCAATAGATCATGACTTTCTTTTGTGGTTGTAATAGAAGATTAATTACAATGCTCGCCCAGACAACGATGGCACTTGCGCTAAAGCTGTGGTCGGTATCCAATAGGAAAACGATTGAGTTGTTTGTGTCTATCATTGCAACGCCATGCCTTTTTCTTTTTCTTTTTTCTGTCACACCCTTTCCATCACCGACAGGAACTCTGGAAGCGAAGGAGGTTTTTTTCCTGCTGGGAAGGATGGGTGACATTGTAACGGTTTGTGTAGTGTGACTGACTGACTGAGTGTGACAATAGATCTTGCGGGGAGAAGAACAGTGATAGAAAAGGGTTGGTGTGTGTGCGTTTTGGAAAAAAGGTGGTGTGATGGCGATGATCTTGACGTTTTGGGAGAGTGTCAAAGAGGATCTACCATGCAGCTCAGTTTGAGAAGACGCTAGGTGAGGATTGTAGAACCTCCTGTCACCTTTCGGCGGTACCTTGGGTGAGGAGGTTACACAGGAGAATGAATATGGGAATTGGAAAATTGGCATGTTTCGTTTCTTCTTGGATTGATGGGGGAGAATTGCTGCTGAGACACATATGCTGCTCTGCCTTGGCAGGTGCATACAGCCTCATGCACCTCGGCGCCGTTATCTGTCTTTCTTTTGGAGATTTTCTCGCTGTTTTGGGCGAGATAGATGAGGATCTTGACTTTTGGGAGTACTGTAGAGGGAATCACATACCTCGGTGAGCAGGTTCGGTAAGAGAGATAGATTGGGAAATATCACGATAATTCAGCGACATAGCGCCAGAAGGTGTTCATCAGCGGGGGGCTCACAGGGCTACCCGGATGCTGGCACCTCATGTGTGCCTCTAGTATTTAAGCTGAACTCAGGAGGGGAGGTGGACTTACCTCCGTCAGCCACGCTCCTGGGCACTCGTCATGTCACAGATCGTGTGCCTAAAACGGCCTCACACATAAGCTTTCCTTCTCATAGGCTCCTGTCCAATCAAGCCGAGGTTGCAAACTGTAGAGTTGATCCACACATGGAAAGACATTGAGATGGCACACACGGAGGGTTAAGTCCGGGAAAGTGGTTGAGAGGCAAAGATCAGACTTAAATCCTGGTTTGGTTTGAGATTGCTTTTTCTCGTCACAAACAGAAAATCGCAAGGGACGGGGTAATTGTCGATGGGATTCAGGGTGGGATTGTGAATCGATATTGGAAGATGAAGATCGATGAATGTGCTTCCTACACGTGTGAATGTGCTGTAAGTCGTGAATCAGACCCTGATGGAGGTTATCGAGATCCTTGTGAAAATCCTTGGATGAACGGGGGCTCAGGGTTCTGGGGTTGTCGAAGCCCTGTAACCCCAGGGTTACAACGGGCCGCCATCTCAAGTTAGCGCTATCCCACTGCTTACGAAATCGCCTGGCTGCCCTGGACCTCTCGGGTTCCGTTCCCGGGCGTGCCCCTCACCACTTGCTCGGTGACTTCCAGCTTGGCTTGTCAATTGGAATGATCTCTCACATCAACTAACCTCATTCAAACCTCTCAATGCATACCAACTCACACAGTACGATGGGCCACCAGACCCAACCCTCAGCCAGCCCACTTCTTGCGCGTGCCGCCGATCTCGCCTGTTGAGAGGAGGTTGACTTGCAAAAGAGACCGACCCGGTCGCGGTGTCCTCCAACACCCGCTGCCATCCACGATCGCCTGCATGAGAGCTAGTGATGGACAGCATCACCCGCATGGCAGCAGACACAGACCTGCCATCCTACCAGGAGGCTACGCGGCGTCTGGACTGGGTCGAGCTTATCGCACCCTACGTGCCTATCCGAGAATATGCGCGTCTCTGCCTCGTCAACAGGCGTTTCTATCGCCATCTAGCGCCGCGTCTCTGGAATGACCCTTTGGCAACAGCCTCCACCTCCGCCGGCAGGCCTGTCAACCGAGACATTGGTCCGTGAACTCCGCTCTGCTGCCGTCTTTGCCGTCTGTCTGCTGTTGACAACCGCCGTGGCAGATATCGAGTGGTTCTACCGCTTCATGGAGCATATGCGATGTGTCCGCCAGGCCACACGTCTCCTCGTTACTTGTCTAGACCTCCGCCGGGTAGAGGCCGGAACCTCTGAGCTTTCGCTGCATTCGCTGAGCAGATCGCTCTCGGCCTATCTACGGGCTGTGCCGGTCACATTCCCTCAACTTCGTTGCATTCTACTGAATAGGCACTGGGACGTGGAGGCAGACGACCTGGCTGTGGCGACTACTCCCGATACGGACCATGATGCCAGCAATGCAGAGGGGCCATTGATGCTCAACATACCGCAATGCCAAGTCAAGATACCGACCGCCTTCTTTTCGTCGCCTTATCTGCACCATCTTGTGTACCTGGATGTGTCTAACATGGCCGGCTCTCTCAGGAAGCCGCTGGAGCAACAGAGATTCGGCCCGGAGAGGCATCCTCACCTCCGTGTCCTCAAGGTAGGTGCAAGGGAGATGGGCGACTCAACGGCCGCCCTGCTGGTGAGAACATTCAAACAGCAGCTTTGGAGCTTGGACCTCAGCCAAAATCAGCTAACAGATGCTGTGCTCAATGACTTGCATATTTTCGCCTTTCCTGCCGAAAGCTTGCGGACAGACAGTCATTATGATGTTGAAGGTAGACTGGAGATCATCCCCGGCAAGGGCACGCCTCTCTTTGGTCAGTTTTGCCTGATTAGAGAGTCTCACTGGAGTGCCACCTTTAGCCATGCCGACCGCTATCTGGTTGATGCCCCTAACTACACTCGCCTTGTTGAATACACTCCTCAGGAGGGTGTCCGTACACGTCTGAACGGCCGAACCAAAGTACAGGATGATTCGGAGGACGAGATTAGAAGATCATTTTCAGGCATTCCTGGAGCTTCTTCACCAAGACGGGAAAGCCTCCACGACCTGGGTGTCTGTCACAGTCATAATGGCATTACTCACTTATATCTCGGCGGTAACAGCATAACCGCCAACGGCTTGGTTAGGCTGATCATGGCATCCCCCGGGCAACTACAGCATCTCGATTGCGATAGCATGGTCTACGAAATTCACGAGGCTGTGAGGCCGGACTGGCTGCCGTCCAGCATCCGTGTCTCAGGTCTGCTCGGAGCAGCGCACGCCTTCCGCCCCGTGCTTTCGTCAAACCTACAGGTCTTGCGCATCCACCACTCCCTCGTTACACAGCTCTTGTCTCTGAAAGGCCGTGATGGAGGTGTGCTGTCAACCATGGAAAACCTGTGGCTAGCCGAAACGTTCCTGCTTCCACGGGCCGAGATGGCGTACCCGCAAGCGTTCCGGCCAGATATGAATCCCCGGCTACGGCTCCTGACCTTGACACATATCCCGAGGTGGTCGACCGGCCCCCTGATTGACAGGCTGATAGAGCTCCTGAAGCTCGCCTCGATGCAGGAACGGGCAATTCAAGACATGAATAGGACTCTGGGCAAGAGCCGCCGCGGCCCTGCCACTGTGGTCGGTCTGAGGCATGTCCGACTGGAGTTTGATCATGATGTTAAGGGGGAATTGCTTGAGGACGGTGAAGAAGATGGAGAAGAGAAGAATCAAAAGAAATACGTCGCTGAAGAAACAACGGCGGCCAAGGAATTTAGTTTCTTTGACGATTCTCGATTTTCTGACTTTTCATTCGATTCTTCTTCTCCTGCTGAGGTTTCTTCGTCAAACATAGACACAACAAACACAGACACCACGCCTCTCACGTCGGTGGTGGCGGGTCCAGCAGCCGACGATCACAGGGCTGTTCCGGACCAAACCGTGTCAAATCAGAGTCAGACCCAGAGACATTCTCCCTCCACCCTCTCACATCTTCCCCGCACCGGCGACAGGTCCGAGCCCATTGTGAATGGGGGCAACGAGGGGCAGTCGGGCCGACTGACGACTGGACCACAACAACGCAGCAGCAGCAGCAGCAGCAGAGGCAACTGGAATGGAACGGAATATGCCGTCCCCATCTGGACAGGTCCACCACCTCCTTTTTACGATTCAACTGAAGACACTCCACAACACGAGCATCAAGAAGTTTCCCCTGCAGTCGAGGCATACATGCGCAACATCCTCGACAGGCGTCTGTGTGCTGATGCAGTGCCTGCCAGCCCGTGTCATGTCCTGGCGGGTGTTCCAGAAGGTGAGTTCATCTGGGGCGCTGCATGGCAGGCGATTGTTACGAGGGGAGACACTACTGCGGCAGGAAAAAGAAGGCCGAAGAAAAGGGAGCTGATGAATGGGATGAGGGATGTGATAGGGGAGATCAAAGCGTATAGAAGGAAAACGAGGGAGAGGTATGAAGCGGAGTTGAAGAGGGCTAGGCTGAATGGGGATGGGGTGAGATTGGGGGAGCCACATTTTTATTATGGGGGGAGATTGGAGGTTGTGAGGGCTGGAAGCGAGGGGGGGATGTTGGGGTGGAGGTGATGGTTTGTTCGGTGCATGGAAGGAAAACGGGTTGAAGGCAGAATTGGTGTCAGATGATGTGCATTGAAAGGCTTGGGTAGCCAGGTGGTTTTTTATTGACCCTCCTTTTCGTGTGTGGCAGGTTTCATGTGATGGGCTTGGGATCACTATCACATTAGACACCACACCACTTGATCGTGGAAGGAAACACGATATGGTTGAGATTTTTTGGGGAGGGGAGAAACAGGCCGCAGACCAGGACCGGAATATCTCATCAAATATCGATAGATCGTGGCGAATGGAACAAGATGGGGTAGAAACACCAATAGGGCTACGCATCACAGAAATTGCGGTGATAAGCTTTTTCGTAGGTATTGGTTTGTCTCTGAATGGTGAATTGTTCAAGAATTAAATACGAGAGATAGACAAACATGAAGCGATTTACTGACTGATTGGACACGATGTGAGCAGTAGAGAGATGCGGAAAGAAAATGAAGATGCACTGGTCCTGTAGTCTCCGTGCCAAATATTACACAAGACAAGACCATAGTAAACATCATTTAGGACATAACTTAGTCTCCTTTGAATGACTATGCTCAACCAGTCCCATTCCGTATCACTCACTACCCCCCTTTTTACCCCTAAATACGACTGGCATGCTTTTGTAGAACTACACAACAACCCGTAAAGTCAACGGTCTATGCGCACTCAAGTTTGCCATTGTAGGTCATGACTTTTGACAGGCCCTGAAATAAGGTATCTATAAGATTGGTTGCTACATCCTCGGCACGCCCCCGATTTATATTCTCTGCCGGCAAGACAAGATTCCACCTGACCTGAGCCGGTCATCTCCAGAGTGCTCCCTCCCTCAAGTAAGTATACTGTAGTAACACACCTGCTAATGTTTCCAAAATCACACAAGTCAAAGATACCAGGTGGCTGAGTATATGTTCGGTTCTGACTAGTTCAGGGGGGGCTCAGATTTCTCGGTCTTTCTATGTGTTGAGAAAATCATGAGCATCGCCAAGGGTATAGCTTCTGTTATCAAGGCGTGTGGATGTGTGAGACAAAGTTCTTGTGGAACCCCCTAGTCATTACTACCTGGTCTATTCTGAGAGGCTATACACCTCATGGAGGATAGATGTATTATATGAGTAAGTTGAACCATCCCCTAACCATCTTTCTAGGTAGCAGTGCGTTTCACCTGGTCAAATAGAGTCAGCCAGAACCAAGATCAGAAAGGTTCCTCCCCTAAGACGTATAAGTATAAGTAGACGCAGCTGAACAATTGTCTCTCAAGTAGAGCGGACAATAACACACAATACCTCGGTACTGTTCCCAGTCACCATCACTGCAAAAAAACTTGGCTACAGAACCAAATACATAATCTTCTTGTGCTACGGAAGATCTATTCCTTGATCTAATAGTAAGCTGCCCTTGGGATTAAATACTCCTCGGCCGATAAACATCATTAGACGGCGAGCATCTATCGACTAATTGGGCATATAGCCACTGAAACCATCAAGTATGGCATAAAACAGATACTCCATCCTTCTCCTCCTCTCGAATGCTGCTGTTGTTCCACACAATAGTACTACACTAATAACCCCTGAATAACACTTCCATCGTCTCCTCATCCATGCCTATCAATAACATTGTTGAATAATTGTTACGAACGAAAATCAATCCGACCGTCTTCCGGAGACTCATTCAAGGTCATCAACCTTTTGAACTGATCCTCCAAAGAGCTCGCGCTAGGGGGAAGGTTCTCAGCCCACTTCTGAAGACCAGGAGAGACGATACCGCTGTTGTCTGGAGAAACCTCGCGAAAGCCGGACCGGTCCTTAGTAATCGAAGGGCTTAGGGAAGCCGCTGCGTGACCCGAATAGTGAAGAGGCAGAACTGCCTGTGCCGTAGTCGATGAAACCGCGCTGATCGTCGGACCCTTCTTCAAAACGGTCTGCCAGAGTCTCGCGCTGCATCATTGTGTCAGTGTGTCCATAGACGCGATATTGGGGACTAGAAAAGAAATGGGCATATGGGTCAGGCAGAGAGCCATATGAGGAGGGGCCGGGGACGGGGCCATACCCAGATCTCTCCGAGCGCCGGTCAGTCGACCCAATAGAGCCTGCATCCGCGCTATTCTCACGGTTCCGCAAGATTGTCCCCGTCTCTGGAACATCAATAGAATCACCCACTGGCACGTCTTCAAGACCACTGCTGTCGACCTGAGTCTCAAAAGAGACGTTGCGCGTGAGCCTGCCCATGGCATATCCATCCTCGCTTGCCCCTACTGGCTTGGAAATCGAATCATGAACCGGAGTCATGGGGCGAAAGGGATCTTGGTCAGACTTGGTCTGCCGATAGGCGTGCTCGGCATCGGAACGGGCGGTGGGGTTGCGATGGGCCGTGACCGGGCTGCTGGGTTCCTGGACGGGAGAAGGGGGGTAGAAGTGCTTTCCGTCATACTTGGGAAGCCCTCTCATGGCAGACTTGGGTGCTTTTCCCCAATACAGGTAGCGGGCGCGAACCTCATCCTCGTTCAGAGGGCGAGTGTAAATGTAGTCGTGATCAGTAGCCTTGCGGGGATCGAAACCCTTGGGAAGAGTCCCAAGTAGATATGGCACTCCAAAGCTCGACCTGGAATAGCCACTGCTCCCACCGCCTCTGTCAACACCCTTGCCCTTGGCAGATCTGGAGGTACCAAAAGCCTCTGCCGAGCCGCCCTGTCCCGAAACGCTGGCAGAACTCGAGCTTCCCTCGGCGCGGTCAGACTGATGCGACAGCGACGGATTGAAAGGCCGGCTGACACCCCGGCTTGGTATGTTCTGAATACCATGGCCATATTTCCAAACTCCTTCCGACTTGAGTCGCTCATTGGACTCGTTCGCGATCTCGTGCAATGTTCTGCCGCCGGGTTCAAAAGCGGGAGCCAGGACGGCTTCACTGGGGATTCCTGTCTGTCTGGAAGGTTCGCCATAGGACCGGTTCGCAGCAATGGGGCGCTGAAAGACTGCATTGCCACCATCGCCGATATTTATATTGATACCCTGGCGGCCGCTTGCGGCCCTTCGTCGAACAGCATCTTCCGACTCATGCTGGCTTTGCTGGACTCCCGTGTCGCCAGAGACGCTTCCCTCGGCTCTTTGCTGAGCAAGATCGTTTCGGCCAACTTCTGGCTTCTTGTGGTCCAGGGTCTCAGCCTCAGCCTCAAGCTGCTGCTTGAGAACCGCCTCAAAGTGAGCAATGTGGTCTCGGTACTGCTGGGCCTTCATCTCCATCTCCCTCTCATCGATCTGATGACGATTATACTGTAATTGATCCTCGTGGTACTTGAGGGCGTGCTTGAAACCGGCGATCTGCTTTCTCGTAATCTCGCTGCGCCTAATCGACGATGGGGGAGGAGCCATATTTGGCGCCGCAAAGTTCAAGTTGGCTGGTATGATGGGATGAGCGCCTCCGTGGATCTGATGCGGGCCGTGGCTGGGAGGTGAAAACGAAGATCCGGCCATCATCTGGCTTCCCCCATGAGGCAAGGCAGGATGCATCATGGGGGCTTGCAGCTGAGACGGAGCGCCTTGAGGAACGCTGACCATCTGCATAGGCATCATGGGACCACCCATGGGGTTGGCAAGCGATGTAGACATGTTCCCAACGGGGTAGATGATCTGACCGTTGTAGAAGTAGGGCTTCGTGTAGTCAAACCACTCTGGAGGCGATATCTTTGGCTTGTCCTGCTTGTCGCCCGGTAGGTGACTGGCGCTCTGGGAATCGAAGGCCTTGTGGTCGGCATTGTCCTTGGAAGTCGAGGCGCTTCCTGAGGCTGCAGGAGCCATAGCAGCCGGCGTGACCGGGGGTTGAGCAAATTGAAAGCCTTGGGGCATGTGCGAACTGAATGCCATCGGGACAAAGGACATGGGAGGTTGCATCGGCTGGAAGCCAGGAGGATAGCCAGGAAGAAACTGCGGCACGATAGGAATCGGCTGTCCCATGGGAAGCTGGTTAGTCGGCAATTTCCCTTGGGCGTTCTTGTCGCTCAAGCCCATGTTTTCGATGGAGGCGGCGTGATCAGTCGCTCGCTTGTTTGTCGGAGAGGGCGGCCCTCGAGTATTGGGGACGATACGGCCACCAGCTGTAACACGGACGTGGGTGGGAGACACGACAGCCTTGTAGAAGCGCTTGAAACCCTCGCTCCTCTGGGCAATGTCACCAGCAGGTGCCGGAATAGGCTCGGGGATGTTGGCATCCGAGTCACTTCGACCGTGGATTCTCCACTCAGTTGGGCGCTGCTGGTCGTGGGCTGTTTCCCGAGCAACTGTGGAGGCAGAATTGGGGGCAGTCATGGGAGCAACCATGGGCGGGGCCATGGGAGCTCCCAAGGGAGTGGCAGTTCGGGCGTTCTCACGAGCAGACTGTACAGGAAGTGCAGGCTGGGGCACTGTCTGGCGGAGAGGCTCTCTCATGGGGAAAAGGTTGAACTCATGGCCCGATCCTCGAGCTGAGCCACGAGTAGCATCGCGCAATGCTCGGCGACTGATGTTGCCTTTGAAAAGGAGCTCATCAGAGGCGGTGGATGAGTCGTCTCGATTCTTGCCAGTCGTAGGCTTGTAGCCTGACGATGACTCGCTTCCAGACTCGCGGACCACGTCGGCTGTACATACTTTAGCTAGGGGCTCAAGACATGTGTATCCAAGGTCAACATACCAAGCTCGGGATTGTTGGCCAGAGCCGACATGCGAGCAGGCACCGGCACCGGGACGCCCCGGATGGCCATAAGCTCGTCGATCGTGTACCTGTGAGCCGGCATGTTGATGTTGAGGACTGCGAAAAGCGAGTACGAGCGACGGTTGTCTTCTGATGTCCAATGGAACAGAGTTGGGTGTCCGCTGACTGAATGTCGTGTCTCGAGATGCAAACTGACAAAGGCGACCAGAGTCGTGACCAAAACAAAAGGGCTGCCTTCCTCGGTCAGTTTTTGGTTTTCCAACTGGGAAACCAAGAATACGGGCAACATGTCTCGAGTGACTCTCGAGACCCAGCAGGCCCCCTCGCCAACAATGTCAATAAACCGGCACTTGCGTCTCTCGGCATACAAATGGTGGTTGAGAGCATGGGACCACGGTTTAGGAACAGCAAAATCATGATACTGCAGCCGCGTCATCTGCCTGATGAAGTTGCCTGTCCTGCCCGTCATCACGGTCTGGTAGGGTTGTGTGTTGAACGCCCGATTCATTGGAGCGTTCAAGAGGAACAGAGGTGGAGCAAATGCCCATGAAGAGGAAGATGGCTCCAACAATGGATGCGATCAACCAGATGAGGGAGGGGTGTTGGTGGTGAAGGGAGAGAAGAGAAAGCGGGGTGGAAGAGCAGAGTACGAAGATGGAAGGGCACCTCTGCCGGAGGAAGGGCCGACTTCCACGGTGACTGGGGCCGGGGCCGGGGCCGGTGATGATGTCTTCGTCGTTTCCGGGGACAACCAAAACATCGCAAAGATGGTGGGGTGAAAAGGACCTCTGATAGAAACAAACTCTTCCACTTACCAAGTTCTAGCACAAGATGCGAAAAGCACTAGAAGCGGTAGATTATTGACCTCAGTGAGCCCCTATGTTCCAACAGTCGTTTCGCGAGAGAGTGTCGGTCGCTGTTTTCAACACAATTGTATCGAGTCTGGGTTTTTTATCCGGGAAAGCGCCGAAGAGGCCAGGAGGGGCGGGACCGGGTGTCGTCCGGTGGGTTCCGGGTTGAGTTTCGTGATTGATTGTGGGAAATGGCTTCGAACGCCAACAGGTGGTTATGGGCGCCGAGAAGTAGTTGTTGATGCGGACCAAAAAGCAAAATCGGTCAATGAAGGAAACACAGCGTCTTGCTAAGGCTGCAAACAGCAGCAGTAACAGCAGACAGTAACGAAGATGAATGACCGCGGTTGGTAGAAGAGGGAGAAGCAGAAGCTGGATGATGATGGCAATGGGGAAAAAAGAGGGAGAACCTAAAAGCCAGGTTGGGTCATCGTCTCCAGACAATTCAGGTACCCTTTGGAGTGCCCTCTCGTGCTTTCCTTCTCCTGACAAAAGACCGGAGCACGGAGCATGGTCCCCTTCAGGGGCACATGGGGAAAGGACGACATTGCCTGGTCATCCAAGAATGCAGGAACGTGTGGTGAACGGCAAACGAACGGCCGATCTTGATGGAGGCTGCCATGCTCAGAAAGAACGACTTGGAGATGGGACGGGTATTATTGTGGGTAAGTTCCTTCTCTTGGATGCCACGCGGTCCCGACAGTCCGGTCGGCTTCCTCTGCAACCGCTGCCTGGAAGAATTTAGGTGGAAGGAGGGATAAAGACAACTGAGAAAGAGAAGAAAGAATTATGAATACTATTTGTTCTGCACTGCACCGCACTTGCGGGGTAATATCTACCTAAAATAAGTACTGTGACAGCGGCTATCCCCCTGGGATAAACCAGAAATAAAGACACAAGAATGGCAAGGGGTATTTTGAGGGTGTAAGACGAGATGGTGATGGCCATCACCTAATTCACACCCCAAACCCCCAATGTCCAGGAGTTATTAGCAGCAGACCCCCTGATAAGGCCGCCTGGCCCAAAGCTCTGTCTGGCTGACTTCTGATCAACCTCGCTGGGCTTGCTCGCTCCTGCGGCACCATACTGCAACCAAACCTCGCGTTCAATAGTAGAAATAGGCGCCGCCTTAAGGTGCGCTATCAGGCTTGCTCCGCTCCACGCCCCGACAGACTCAATGGCCCTCATCTTCCCCTGCACCCTTGGTCTCTTATCCTGCCCTCGCGCGAGTTGCTCTTCGACAGGACAGGCTTCGTGGGCAGTATTGGCTGCATCGTGCCAGACCCCATCCTGCTCTTGACCACCGACGGCTTCCGGCGGGCTGGTGACACCAGTAGGACCACTAACCGCTGGCCGACTGCCCCTTTTTCCCTGCAGCTTTGGATTAGCCCGCATCTGGTCTGCTCCCTTTCCTTGGACACCGTCCCATCCTCTCTCCTCTATCAGCTTGGAAACTTCGCCAAAAATACGGCCACGTAGTCCCAAAACGCTAGCACAGCCACCCGTGAAAATGATGCGAGACATGCAAAGTGCCCGAACATCCAGGGGTAGCTGCAGAAGACTGCGGTAGACAAGCAGAGGCAAAGGTAGCTCATGATCGTCAAAGCTGCTCTCTGAGTACTGGGAGTCAAAGAAGGCATTCTCGCTGGGTTCTGCAAGGGCTGCCCAGGGAAGCTCTATCGTGGTCGGTGATCGACATGATTGCAGTGGAATTCTGGCCGTCTTTGAGGCCTCAGTTGGGGACTCGGCTTCCGTAGAGTCTGATTCATCTTGTTCGTGGAGGGTGGGCAGACCTTCCTTTGATTTGTGAGCTTTGGGAGAAGATAGATGTGGCTTGCACCAAACCATCCGAGTAGCAATGTCGTTGCATTCCTCAAAGCTCAGGTCGTAATCTTGGGTATCTTCGGAGGTTGTGCCCTCCTTCTTTTTCTGATTTTCGGGGAGGTGTCTGGCGAGAAGTTTGTGTGTCTGTTCCACAAGCAATCTCCCCCCACGAACACTACGCTTGGTGTTGACTTCGCGAAACTCGTAAACACTGGTAACAACTGTCTCCCTCCAACCGAGATCAACAATCAGAGCAGAACGAACCCCAGCACCGACTGTCAGTGCAACGGGGGACGAAAACAGCGATATGGTGGGCGGCTGAAACCGTGTAAAGAGGCTGTCTAGTACTGCCGATAACATGGGAAGAGGAAGGCTAGAGGGCAGCACGCACGCCATTCTCCGTGGCCGAGAATCGATCAGCATGTATCTGTTTCCAGGTTAGCTGTGGCTCTATTGTAAGCAGAGTTATGGCCAAGTAACTTACTTTGTAAGAGCTTCTCTGAGCGCCCTCTCTACCTTGTCCCCAATGAGACCTAGATCGACCTCCCGCACATCATACTCCCAAAGCTCGTGATCCCTGGTCCACCACTTCTCGCCCGTCACTTTTTTCGTCTTCCAGTCCACATTGGTTTTGGACTCGGAGGACCAGTCCCGGAAGTCTCCCACCCGGCGGAGCTGTGATGGAGTGAACCAGACCGTGCCCCTCGGACAGGCATCCCCGGCGAACCCTATTTGCAGTTTGCGGGAGCCAAGTTCGAGAATGAGGATATCTTCATCTGCTCTCAAACTGGACGGGGAACCAAAGCTGGAGGTGGGAACAGGACGGCTGCTGGAAGAGGGGGTTGACGGATTGGTGTTGCCGCTGGTGTGTGGGGAGCGGATGTTGGCGACTGAGCGGTGGGGGAGAGGTGTTGTTCCCGCTCCAGAGCCGGAACCCAGGCCAGACATGTTGACTTGTTTTTCTTGATGTTCTCGTGAAATTAGATAGAAAAAGTCGTCAATTCGTGTAGTTGGATGGCTCTCAAAGGCCTACAAGTCAATTTCTGTTCATGACATTCCGAACACGATGATGCAAAAGCCAATGTCGCCGCTTTCTCGACCGTTTGACTGTTGAGTTCACCAGCAGTGACGTCTCGGTAGTTGCATAACAGCATCCAAGTCCCCCATGATGTGCATATATCCGAGCCACTTCCACCCCACCAAGCTCCAACTGTCAGCTTAACGGTTCACCCATAGCAACGCTTGGCAGCCTTGGCAATCTAATCCTGAAGAGGCAACCAGTCAACAAAGCGCATCATCCTTTTTTCGTCCGTTTCTTCCAGGCAGCAGAGCCTCACGGCGCACCTCCGTCCTGCCACCGCGACCGACTTCTTTTTTTGCCTGACGAATCAGGTTCGGCCTTGGGGAGCGCCAACGAGAATGGCTTTTGGCAGATTCTTCTCTTGAGGACCGAGCTCATTTTTTGGTGCCCTTCCCCCCGTAAAATCGCTACCACCCAGCAGTTGAAAGGTTGAAGAGTTGGCACAATGGGTATCAAAGGGTACATGCAAACAGATTCAAAACTTCCCGTCCAGATTTGTGTACTAATATTTGCTCCTGGCAGAATATACAAAGAAATCGGCCCCGGCGAGCGCATCTCCATGACCAAGCTCGTCTTGACGACTCTCGAGAAAGCCGAAAACCCACGTCCGTTCCGACTCGCAATCGATATTTCTATATGGCAGTTCCAGATCCAAGCTGCCCGCGGCGGCTCCAACCCCGCCATTCGAACGCTATTTTTCCGACTTGTTCGGCTCCTATCTCTAGCGATTCAACCACTCTTTGTGTTTGATGGTCCGAACAAACCAGCGTTCAAGCGCAACAAACGCGCCGGCGGCCCCCGAGGCGCGGGACACATGGTAGCCGCCTCCATGGCGAAAAGGATGATCAAACTCTTTGGGTTTGCCATACACGATGCGCCAGGCGAAGCCGAGGCTGAATGCGCGTTCCTCCAGCGAGAGGGAGTGGTGGATGCCGTGCTGAGCGAAGATGTCGACACCATCATGTTTGGCTGCGGAAAGACACTTCGAAGTTGGACTGCGGAAGGGAAGGGGAATGTACCGACACACATCACACTTTACGACGCGGAGGAAATTGCCAAGGGCGAGAGTGGACTGGATCGGGAGGGTATGGTCCTGGTTGCGCTGATGAGTGGCGGGGACTATCTTCCTGAAGGTGTGCCAGGATGCGGTATAAAAGTCGCCTGTGAGGCAGCCAGAGCTGGATTTGGCAAACAGTTATGCGGCATCAAGAAGGCAGACTGGAAGGAGGGGTTTCAAGCGTGGCGAGAAAGGTTACGCCATGAATGGGACACCAACGAGAGCGGATATTTTCGCACAAAACATAAAGGACTGGCGATTCCCGAGGACTTTCCGGATTTGGAGATTCTTAGGTATTATACCCATCCGGTAGTCTCGACGCACGCCACGGTCGACAAACTGAAGACGAATTTCCCTAATAAGATGACGTCTCCAGTTGATGTCATTGGTCTCAGGGAGTTTGTGGGTGAGACGTTCGACTGGCAGTATCGAGGAGGGGCTGTGAATCTGGTTCGCAAACTCGCACATGGGCTGTTGGTCCAATCTCTTCTGCAGCGATCGTCAGAAGGCAAGGATTATGGCGATGATACTGATCTTATGGCGGAGGAGGAAGGCGCACTGATCACGGGCATCAAGTCCAGGCGTGCTCACCATAGCACGGATGAGACGCCAGAGCTGAGAGTCTGTTTTGTGCCAAATGATATCGTCAAGCTCGATCTTGCGAATGAGCCAATAGAAGAGGTTGAGGAGCACGGGCGAGGTGGGTTAGCGCTGAACAGCGATGACGAGTTTGGCGAGGAAGATGGGGAAGAGGAGGAAGGGCTTAAGAAGACGGCGAAAAAGCCATACGACCCCGAAGGCCCAGATTTGGCATGGATCCCCGAAACGCTATTGAAACTCGGCGTCCCTTTGACTGTCGAGGACTGGGAGACGAAGAAGCGAAAGAAGACCACGAAGCCGGCCACGAAGAAGCCGGCCACGAAGAAGCCGGCTAAAGCAAAGGGTGGCATGCAACCCGGGGCGCTCAAGAAGTTCTTCACCGTTAGCAAGCCAGTTACCGTTGCCGTTGAAAAGGCTGTGCCCGCTACTGATGACCCCGTTCCCTCGACCCAAGCGGCGCCGCCTCAGTCAACGATGCCACCAGCAGCAGCCCCAAAGCCCCTAGGCAGACAACCCAGAAAAGCACCCACCAAAAAACAACCAGCTAAGCCAGCAGCCGAGGTCAACCCCTGGACGTTGTCAGGTTCTCAAGCCAGCCCTACGATCACCAGAACTTTAAGCTCCTCACAATCAAGGCCCCAACCACCGTCGTCTTCCAATTACGAACCAATTCTCATTTCATCTTCACCTGTGGCGCTCTCGTCCCCTCGTACTTCACCAATCCGAACAACACCCATCCGGCCAAAGCGACAATCTCCAGACCTGTCCCGGACCCCTATTCGACCTCGAATGTCAAACGTTGTCGCAACACCGCCAACCATCAGCGCAACAAGGCCATTTAAGAGAACAAAAAGCGGCAGAGGGGCAGCTATACCGATTAAAGTCTCCTCGACACAGAACCAACCCAAGTCCAAACAGCAAGCGCCGCCAGCCCAAAAGTCCATCAAAAGCTTTGGGAGAACCACCAAAAACACCACCGCTGCTGTCACAAACAGCAAACCAGCCTATTCAATTCCTATTGAATTTTTATCATCGGATGAGGATAGCCACGATGACGACGACTCTGACGATGATGAGCTCCCGTCACTCTCCAAACTCAACGCACCCAAGTCATCGCTACCAGCACCACCGCAGTCGCCGTCGGGAGGGAAGGCTGGGTTGAGACAATCTACCGCTCCACCGAGGATACCGTCTCATACCAGGGATGCGTACGATGATGTTTTGATGTCTTCTCCGAAACCGCGCTCCAGGCCGCCGGCGCTGTCGACGGCGTCGCTTCCTGCTCCGTCGCTTGTGGTGGCGAGTACTACTACTGTGAAGACGGGGAACTTTCTCGGGAGGGGTAGTTACAGTCGTGGCGGTAAGCGAACGACTTGTAGCTTTGATGCTGATAACTTGTTTGGGGAGAGTGATGATGAGAGGATTGGGGGGGTTGGGGTTGGGGGGAGGATAGTGGAGGAGGAGGAGGAGGAGGTTGAGTGTGTTGATTTGACGGGGGATGATTAGGAAGGGGAGTCGAAAAAACAGATGAATATGGCTGGGATTTTGGAAGTTTGTTTTGTTTTTGTATTATATTTGTTGTGTATGGATACTTTGAGGAGTTGGGTACATTAGCGAGCGAGTATGCGCATTACGTAGGAGTTTTTGGTGATTTGGGTCGGGACTGGGGCTGGTAGGGGGGGGTCTATGATGGTTATGATGATCGGTAATGAAAAGCATCTTACTGATATGCACGGTATAAGCCTGATGAGCATGATATTGATGATGCATGATATATGTGAAGTGTTAGGGAAGGTGAGTTCGTTATTCTCAGATTTGTGTTGTCTGATAGTCTCTTCATTATCTCTTGAGACTCTGATCATTAGTTATGCCTCACAAACATATTCAACCACTTTCAGGTCGGCTGACATTGGATTGTTGATGGGTATAGCCGTGTCTTATCATCGTCATCATCGCTCCTTCTCTCGCCTTGCTCCTGCCCTCGTGTGCCTTTGCCCCACAGGTTCCTACCTCAACTGACGCCTTCCCTAGATGGATTCTTGCCTTGCTGGCTCCTTCCCTCTCCTGGATTCTTTCTTTTCTCATCGCTCATTCTCATCATGATTTCTTCTCGCTAGGTAGCAAGATCACGCATCACCACATTCTCTATTCAACACCTCATCCCACACAATTCCACTCGCCAGGAAAGTCCATTTTATATCTCCAATTGCCCACCAAGTAAATTGACCGGTAAAGTGACTGTTATTTTTCTTACAGAAATCACCTGGCATGGCAGTTCTCACCTGACCTATCCTGTTCATATGAGAATCCGACTTTGCTACACACTACCAGAATCCAATCCACCACCAACATTTATTCATCTGTATCATCTCCTATCTCCGATTCCAGCAGTACGGAGTCACGCTCCCCGTCCCTTGATCCGTCAGGTAGCCATATAAAGGGTCCATTACACAACATATCCCTCCCCAATTCCACTCTCTTACCGTACAACCCCCCTATCCAGTGGCAAGAATGCAAATCTTTCACTTTCCCACTTTTCCCCCCTCATGTATGTCAGATGGGATATCTGATATATGTGTGCTTCACGGCGCGGACTCGGCCCCTTTGTTGAGAATCCGGCGGATAGGGGCGTTATTGCACGGCATATGACCCTTGCCTTTTTGATGTTGGTCGCAAGAGTGCGAGACCGTACCAGATAATCCCATCTACTCTACCTACTGTATGTCAGATCTGCACCCTCCTCTCAACGGTGATGAACATAGGGAGATATGTCAGATAGACGAAGCGGCGCAGCTCAAACGATCGACAGTATCACGCAGCATAATCTCTGAAACATCAACAGCCAAACCCAAGAAAGGGAATGACCCATCTTGCAAGTCAAATGCAACGCTCCCCGGGGGGCACGGGGGCAGGTCCGGTCCGGCTCCGGACAGCTTACCACCGATATGTCGTGCACCCGGCGGCCATCATCCATCTTCAGCAATCTATCACCCTTACTTGAGTGATGTCTGGTAGTCATGCGGCAAACCCCTATTATGCAAGTTTATGGGTCGTCTGTCAAGGTGCAGTAGTGCCCGCCCGCCCATCGCCACGTCTCTGAGAAAGAAAACGGTGGCTGTGTCTATCCAATCTCCAACACTTGCACCAAACAAGTGCCGGTTCATCCGGGTGCAGCCATACCATCCAGATACCAAAAGCCACCATTACGTA